CGGAAACGCTCGAGGCGAGCCTCGCCTCGCGAAAGGGAGAAGAAAGAGAGAAGGAGAAAGAAGAAAAAGAGGCCGGCCGGGGAGAAACAAAAAGTGACGGGCAAGAAGGCAAAGAAGCGAGAAAGAAGAGACGGAGAGAAAGAGGGATAGGACGAGGTCGGGTCGCCTTCCAAAATTACCGGTGATCGCATTTTTCCTTAGCGATTAAAATTCCATTCCTACAGCACTGTCGCGTATCGTCCGACCTCCTTTTTTTTTTTTTCTTCTTTTTTCTTTTGACTTCTTCGGAGAGAAAGAGAGAAACGCAACCGTGCTTCTCCCTCTCCGTTCCTCCTGTTCCATCGTCTAGTGCCAAAAACTCGTTCGAAGGCGTCCTTATCGTCGGTCCTGCCTTCGTATCGTGGCTTATTTTGCCATCCCCTCGCCCTTCCTCGACTACGTTATAGGAAACGTATAAGGAAACATTGGACGAACTACGTTATAACAACGGTAAAGCGTGACGTTCGACCGAATTTATGGAATTCCGTGATCGAAGCGATTACAGAATAAAATTCCGTAACGACGCGAAATGCAAGTCTCGCGCAATGGAAAATGTAAAATCGAATTATTTGAGGATATCGGGAGGAGGCGCGGTTAATTTTGGCATCGCGCAATTCGCAATCGATTCGTTTCGGGGACGATCGCAAAATCACTGATTTATCGCGAGGATTTAGCAGTGCTGGCTTAGCCAATCGGTTGTTGCGATATAAATCGCTGAGATCGAGAAAGAGAGAAAAATTGAGGCGCCACTTAAATATTCACTCGCTATTACTCTCCTCCCGAAGAATATCCCCGGACATTTCTGAGATGCTTTTCGTGGGAGTAAAAAATGAATGGAAAAAAAAAGAAACGGAATAAATGCAAGAATTAAGAAAATTCATGCCATCGATTCGGCAAATCTTCCTAAAATAGCAACTGGCGTTTTGACGAGTGACCGACTAAATAAATAAAAAAAATATTTTTTTTCTAGCCTCGAGTTCTAGCCTCTTCATTTGCAATTTGAATGAGGAGATCGTAGGTACGAAAGTAGTTACTACCATCCGGTGGAGTGGCAACAAAGTCTCGATTAGGACCAACTTACGACCAGCCCGTGACTGGGAACTCTCACGTGCTTAAGCATGCTTATGTTCGTTACCGTCCGGGACTTCCTGTACCATGTTAGCCATAAACATTCGAAAATAAGCAAGCTCCTCCCCTCGTGCTCGTTCGCACCCCTAGAAGTGTGAACGTTACGTAAATTCCATGGAATATCGCGTGATAGGTCGGCCGATAACACCAGGTCTAGATTCGTTCCAACTTCCAGGCCGGAACCATCAAAAGCGCCGATTACGTTGCAAATTCGAAATAAATCCAAACCGCGCCTCGAGGGATTTCCGAATCGACGAACCACCCCAAGTCTCCAAATAAATAAATAAATATTCACGTCGAGCGTCAAAGCGAAGGGGAATCAAGAGAATTTTGTCTAAGGTCGTATTTTTAACGTTAAGAAAATTGAACACATGTCGGTGCCACATAAAGCGCCGGAGAGCATTTTTTACCGGTGACAATAATTATTCCAACTGACTTTTACTACTGTCGCTTTGCGTTTCCAGGCCGCCCGTTTCGTATAACACATGTGGAAATAATTATCGTAATTTTAGTACACCGGAGGGTGCCGGGATTTTGGGCTTAAATGCCGCCAAACTGAGGCCACCAGCGATACGAAATCTTTTTTCTCATCGATCGAGCGATCATTTATCGCGCATGCAGTTTGCCCACTTTTCATAATGACTCGCTCTTATCGGCGAGACATTGCCGACAGGGCATTTCTGTCGTTAGAATCGCTCGCGTCTAATGATCCAAGATCGAAGTCGGATTCGCTCGGGAAATTGCGCACTATTCGACTCCATTAGTGAAGTTGTAAAATGCCCGTTTGTACGGCAGATACAAGATAAATATCTACGGGATGCAAATGGAATGATCGAGCGGGCGGTAACGAGGGCACGAGAGGTGATTAAATTCGACAGAAATACAGGAACGCGAGTCCACTTCTAAAGTCCCGCGTATAAAGTCCTCCCTCTGAAAATTGCCTATAACCCCAAAGGAATCGCTAATCCAATCCCACCAGTGAGATTTTTTCTCGAATCCCTTACCAATCTCCACGATCACCCGTTCCATCCATTTTCGGCCATTAATTCGGCTCGGTGAATCGCCGGGCACCCTCGAGGACCTGCAGCTATTCCGGAAAAATATTTTCCACCAAATTCTCCGAGGGAGAGGCTCGGGCCCCGGAGGCTCGGGGGCGACCCTGGCGCGAGAGCCATGCCGGGGGAGGACGGAACGCGGGGCGCGGGGTCGAGAGTTTCAGAAAAGAAACGGACGATCGAGCTGGAACGAGGGAACGCGAGGAGTCGAAGAGGGGGAACCCGACACTCGAAACTGTACGAGTACTCCTGTTACTATGCTACGGTGGCGCCCTCGGTGCTTTCCGCGCCGAAGTCGCGAACTACTCCCGTCGCGACACTCGCAGCGCCGTCGGCCGACTCGCGCACGGTCCTGCTTCCCCTCCCGTGGCCCCTCTCGATCACGCCAACTTTTCGTACAGCCACGGAATAAAGATTTACGGGCAATCGCGTTACGCAAAGAGGTCGGCTAGCGGCGACCCAAAGTCTATGACTTACATTTCACGCTCGGCGAATGGTACCCTTCGCGAGTACTCGGATGCCGCGACGCCCTTCGGACCGCTCCGATCGCGGGGGTTAACGAAAGGGTCGTCGAGGAGGTGACCCGAAGGGTTCCTTTCGGCTTAACGACCTTACGGGGAGGGAAAATAAACTAAGCAAAACGAAACGACTGGACCAACGATCCGACGTCGTTTCCAGGGCCCGAATTTTCGTATCTCGAATTCGTGGTCTTCTATGGGAAATTTCTGGAAGCCATGAAATAACGTCGATCTAGCCCCGTGGGAGAACCGAAGCGATTGGATCGTTTCCCTCAAAAAAAAATATCGCCGCGTGCCACGGGGAAGATGCAAGAATTAATCCGGGGTTCCTCGCTACGCGAAATCGCAAATCACCCGGTAACGATCGACCGCGAATTAACGAGACGTGGAGCGCCCAATGGAAATTGCACCGGCACTTGTATAAGCAAACTTTCAAGAACGCGGGTCGAGATGTTTAGTCTGGGTCGTTTTTTTTTTTCTCTCTCTTTTTTTCAATCGGGAAACTACCGACGTCCTTCTCGAGTTTCTCCTTGCGTGAGATCGGGCCCGATGGACGTTTCTTATCCGTAAACTCGAAACCCAAAGACGCCTTCCGAGGCGCGTCCACGAATCGCGGCATTGAAATTCCTACGTGCGAGTACGGAGGTTTGCGCCATCCGTAAAATTTTTATAAAAATACTACTATTGCCAATTGTTCCACGTCCAAAATTACATCCCGAGATCCGATTGCTGCCCACCTAATACGCGCTACACGTAACCACGGGTTTAAAGAGCGTAATCACGCAATACTCAACCCACGAGCAACGACGCGAATGAAGTTTATATATATATATATGTGCAACATACTTGTCCGACATACGACAATTTAGTCACAACGATAATTGTGATTTGTATACGTGAGAATTCTATCTGATATACGTTGATATAAGTGTTGCTTGATGTACGGCACGTTGCGGCTAACGATAACTCCTACTTATAAGCATAATAAAACTACTCGATAGGCGATAATATGCACGCATATTGCATGTACAATAGCCCTGTGATATACGACGTATTACAAGTAATGGGAACGGTTTACGAGTATAATCAACACATTATAAACAGGTGATACCCGCCCAATGCCCGCCTATACTCTGAACTTCGAAATCAACTCGTGCCCGCGCCACGGTTCTCGTATTTATCGCCGATAGATTTCCCACAAATATGATGCGCGTAATGGCAACGGGTCTAGGGTTTCGTTCTGGAAATTGTGCTAAGATTTTCGGCCGCAAAGTTTCGCGTCTTATGCGAGGACCTGTCCTGGAAAATTGCAACCACGTTACGCGCCGACGACGTATCGCCGACGCCGTAGGTTATGGCCGTTGCGTCGCGGGGAGAGCTCATTTTTATTCGCTTCTCGTCTCGCATCCCACGATAGCCTCTTTCGATAAAAAATCGTGGCATTAATATTACTCGACATCTGGCACCGAGATGATTCGCGAGCGAGCGCGCGTCACGCGTACGGCTTCACCGATAAGGACGCGCGAACGCGACGACCAAGTGCTCTCGTAAAGATTAAACGTTTCTGGTCGTAACGAATAAAAAATACATTATCCGCCGATTACGAGGGACTAGGTATCTTCCAAGATCTCTCCTTGTGGATAGCAAATCGGACCGCTGTCCTCTCGCCGAGAAATAAAAGAAAGTCCAAACATCGGGAGATCGTAGCTTTCGGTCACGAGACCAGTCCCAAAATTAATGTAGAGCGAATCCCCACGATGCAACCTCATAGATTTACGTTAGTTTAGTGCCATGAATCCTTGTACCGAATCAGCCGAGCACGCATCGTCGCGATAAACGGCAATCTCTTTAAACGTGGATAGAACCTTTAAATAATATCAAAATGAATAACTGATAACGATGCCCCCCCAGATCGTGACCGAAATAATAAGATCGTTAATCAAAAAAGTCAACATGGACCTTAGGCGATAACTTTGCCGACTTTTCGATGACACCGATTACGGGTCCCAAAGTTTGTGTGCTTGTCGACTGTGAGTAACAACGCTCACTTGCACAGTGAGTTTGGTCAGGGACGACACTTTATCGTATTCAAAGTGATGAGTCAAATCCGCAAACAAAAGGGGAACAAAGAAATCGCCTCGTTTTGCGAATCTCGTCACTGGACAACCTCGACCTTCCTCGCTAAATTCGGCAGAACATTTCGCTGAGAATTTCCGACCTTGATTGCTTTACTTTTTATCGATGTATCGAAGTCTCTTACCTGCGCATTTTACACCCACTTTTCCGGTACCAAAAATGTAGTCCTCGCCTGGAAACAGAGTAAAAATTTTATTCAAATGTCCTAAAAGTAATTTAATAAATTCATTAAATATTTGTGGCATTCATTATTTTATTTGTAATATTATAAATAATGGCCAAAATTACAATGGACATAACTCTCTGTTAAAATAAATTTCTTTAAGGGTACGTATTGACATAATTTTACAGTCGATATTACTTACATGTCAAATTGAGTTCCAGTAACGATTAATTATCGTCATGATTCAACTTGTAAGTAAACTTTTAAAAAAAATTCCTCAAAGACTATCGCTCTACGTTCATTAATATTTAATTGTTTAAACTTACAATGTGTGCAGAGAATCGGAGTAACAAAGTAAACGTCCTCTAATTTATGACTGTATTTCTTGGGTTCTGCATTGGTTGACTCTGCTACATAAGCTGTAATCATATATAAAAATATGACAACTTTGATGTATACCTTTCACAACAAATGTATTATTTATTACACTGATCTATTATATCAATTGATTTACTTACGGTAGGGCCCATTGCTGATTGTTACATATGATGACTCTTCTTCGTTATGGGTGTCAGAATACGATATGCTTTTTGTCAGCATTAGGACTTTCTCTTTGTGTACCTCTAATAAATGAAAAGAAATATCAATATATAAATAATAAAAACTATAAGCATCAAATAATGTACTGTTCGTAACTAAAAACTAAAATTCTTACCAGGTACAACACCTTCAACTTTAACTCGCCTCCCGTACAATCTACCAAATTATTCTTCTTAATTTTATTAAAATGATTTTGTACAATTTGTCAGAAGCAATTGGATCGATACGGTAAATCTTCGGTTCAGGGAAAATTACCCCAATTAGCTTGTTGCTGGTTGGCAATATGTAGTTGTAAATACAGGAAGTACTAAATACATGATACACGACAAATGGCTCTTGGGCATCATTTATAAGCAATCATGGTATCGAACGAATACTCATTTAATCTACTGTCTTCGACAATAAAACAAATGCTTTCTTTTTTAATGTGCAGTCATTCTTTAGAACGTTTAGCACTTGTTAATGGCTGCGGTAATAACTACGATCTCGATTCTCATTCTTCGAATATATGGTTTTCATACAGCATTGTTATTCTCATGTTATAAACTTTGGCAATAGAATTTCATAAAGTTAACAGATTTCTCATAATGAACAGGAACCCATGCGATACAGAAATGTTGAACGTATCTTGTTGCATGCCAGTTATTAACGAACTTTTCTGAAGTAAGAAGTATCATTTACTTCCATGATATATTAATATGCTGACTTTTCTTTTCTCATTATATGATGTTCATGTATTACCACATAATATTAAACCTTTTCCGAAATATTTATCATACTGCAATCTCTGCAGCCTTCACTCGTAAACTTCCTTTGTACATCATTCCAAATTAAGTATTATGGCTGACAAAATTCTGAAACGAAATAAATTTTATAAGAAAATGGAATACGAGCATGATTAAATGATACCACTGAACTATATATAACCATTAAGTCTCTGAACTGCCAAGTAGTTTCAATTGCCATTTTATTTTTAGATATACGACGGATAAACTATAACCTTATTATAATGCTCGGACTCCAATACATTTTTAATTCATTTACTGTCTATCTGAATAAAAAAGTAAAGCGTTGAATTCCTAAAGATCAAGGTACTACTTCGGAAACCCGATTAGGTCCTACTACTATGGTTTGCTTAAAAACATGATATCGTATACAGAAAACTCATTCAGAATCTAATGCGATTACATGCAACAATTTTAGTGAATAAAAGACACGCGGTTGCGCTAAATTAATAGGTTAAAAAATGTTTTTAAATCCTTACAGAGAAAACTTACCGGTCAAGCTTTTCGGACAAGAAACCTCAAACATTAGGCAAGTTTTCTGTTCCTTTTACCGTAGAATTGCTCGAACAAAATTCACGACTCGTAAAAGATGCGAAAAAGCAAACTCTGTCGAAGGCGAGAGACCAGCTCCGAGCAGCTACTCTGAGTTACGACGAAAACACGCCAACTTGGCCCGCGTTTCTTTCGCACTCCAAACTCGACGCATCCAGGTAAGTAACGTTTATCCTTAAGGATGTCGTCTAGGACTACGAGCACAAAAAAGAGGCAACGAAAAACGTCGAAGAAAATCTCCCTGACAGCGACAGTTTACCTTGGTCGCCACACACCGACCGACACGGACGAACGCGGTTAGACCTGGTTAGTTCAAGCATTGAGATTAGACACATTAGATTGCTGTTCGCTGGCTAAAACGCGAAATACCGCATTAGTTCGTACTGCATGGCGTGTTCTCGTGGACCAGAAAATAGCAGATCGAAGAACAGAGTGCCAGAGTCTGTAAGCGTAAGCACCTGATTCTGTAGACTTCTTCTTTTCTGTTATAAGTACGACATCTATTGCATGACAGTGCCAATGAAATATCGGCCTGAAGGAAGTTCATTGTCTCAAGTTCGAAATAATAATTGCGCGGGTAAATTGAAGTTCATTTAATAAATTTCAGTAGAAATTGTATTATTAACTTTTATTCGAGTGCATTTCATTATTTTATTGAACATGTAACGTATTTTGCACCTTCCGTTTTCTCATTAGAAAATATATTTTGCAAATTTTGTGAAACTGTTGAATTGATTTCAAGTAAGTGATTTCATACAGGTAGAGGCGCTGGAAGTCACGGTGACTCGCACATCACCGTCTCTGCACGCGTAACCTAAAAATTTGACGGGTACCGAGGACGGTATACGTCTTGTCTTTTCGTATACGCGTTTGTCTAGAAATCGAGTAAAATGCCGGAAAGTACGAAGACGGAGGCTAAGCCGACAAAAGTCAGCAAAAATGAAAAAGAGGAAGAGAAGAATGATTTAGTAAGTTTTTCCGTTCTAAATGTACAGTAAGGGGGTGTTGTTTGTGACGATCGAGCATTGTTGGGATGATTTGGATTGTTTAAAGCAATGCCTACCGTATATTTCAGTTTATAATCTGTGCATGAATTGTTTATTGTTTTAGTCAGAGGAAGACAAATTGCTCCAAGAAGAGCTTGGAAATTTAGTGGAGCGTCTACAAGATCCTAATACAGCATTGCACTTTGCTGCATTGGAATCCCTTCGATCGCAAATAAGAGCTTCGACGACATCCATGACCAGTGTGCCGAAACCTCTTAAATTTATGAGACCCCACTATGACTCCATGAAAGCTGTGTACAATAAGATTACAGACAAGAAGTCAAAAGAATTATGTTCCGATATAATTTCTGTCCTTGCCATGACTATGGGTGAAGGCAGAGAATGTTTAAAATATAGACTGACTGGCTCGGCTTTGGTAATTGGTGAATGGGGGCACGAGTACGTGAGACATTTATCCGGAGAGCTTGCAGCAGAATGGCACCAACTAGTGAGAGTTGAAGCAGAAGACCCGAATTCAGAGGCGAGCAAGAAATTAATAGCCCTTGTTCATGAAATTGTTCCTTATAACATGGCTCATAATGCAGAAACAGAGGCGTGTGATTTAGTAATGGAGATCGAGATATTCGATTTACTGGAACAGTATGTTGACGAGAGTGCTTGTCAACGAGTATGCCTTTATCTTACCAGCTGCGTCCCTTATGCAGCTGATTTAGAAGACACTACTCTCCTCCATGTAGCATGTAAATTATATCGAAAATATGGTCAATTTCCACAAGCAATAAGGCTTGCAATGCAGCTGAATGATTTGTCCCTTATTGAAGAAATCTTCACTACCTGTACAGACCCGTAAGTAATTTCTATATCTCTTATTGATACATTCCTTAATTTAATCCTTACTTCTATTGCAAGAGATTATTTGATTGCAGATCTGTTCAAAAGCAATTGGCGTTTATGCTTGGTCGCCAACAGATCTTCCTAGAGCTCCATGAATCAACAATTGATTATGACGACCTCGTTGAGATAATGTCAAACTCACATTTGAATAATCGCTTTCTTGATTTGGCTCGTGAGTTGGACATCATGGAACCAAAGACACCCGAAGATGTGTATAAGTCACATTTAGAAAACTCAAGGCCAGCTTTTGGTGGTGGACAGGTTGATTCGGCCAGGCAAAATCTTGCAGCTAGCTTTGTAAATGGATTTGTAAATGCTGCATTTGGACATGATAAGCTCTTAATTGAAGATGGCAACAAATGGTTGTACAAAAATAAAGAGCACGGTATGCTCAGTGCAACAGCCTCTTTAGGTCTCGTTCTTTTATGGGATGTCGACGGGGGCTTGACACCAATTGACAAATATCTATATTCTTCTGAAGATTACATAAAATCAGGAGCACTGTTGGCATGCGGTATCGTCAACTGCGGCGTCAGAAATGAGTGCGATCCAGCATTAGCTCTTCTCTCCGATTATGTTCTGCACAATAGCAATACCATGCGCATTGGTGCGATAGTGGGTCTCGGTTTGGCTTATGCTGGTTCCAATCGTGAAGCTGTGCTTACTTTATTGACGCCTGTACTCAGTGATCCAAAGTCCAGTTGGGAAGTAATCGGTGTAGCTGGTCTAGCCCTAGGAATGGTTGCTGTTGGTTCCTGTAATAAGTACGTTACTACTGCAATCATACAGACATTACTGGAAAAGTCAGAGACTGACCTAAAAGACACTTATGCAAGATTCTTGCCTCTCGCCCTTGGTCTGTGTTTCCTTGGCAAGCAAGAATCTTGCGGAGCAATAATGGATGCTTTGGAAGCCATTCCACAACCATTTAAATCGATGTCCAAAACTTTAATAAAAGTCTGTGCTTTCGCTGGAACTGGTAACGTACTGAAGATCCAAAAGTTACTGCACATTTGCTCGGAACACTACGAACCTAGCAACGAGAAGGAAGAGAAAGGTGATCGTAAAGACAAAGATAAAAAGGAGGAAAAAAAAGAGGAGAAAGAGAAAGACCTAAGTTCTAGACAAGCAATTGCTGTTTTGGGAATTGCTCTTATAGCTATGGGAGAAGAAATTGGAACCGAGATGGCATATCGTACTTTTGGTCATTTACTCAGATATTGCGAACCAGTTATTCGACGTACCGTACCTCTAGCCTTGGGGCTTATTTCGGTCTCCAATCCGAAATTAAATATCTTGGATACTTTGTCCAAGTTTTCGCACGATAGCGATCCTGAAGTGGCGCATAATGCAATATTCGCAATGGGTCTCGTCGGTGCTGGAACCAACAATGCAAGACTGGCGGCAATGTTAAGGCAACTTGCCCAATTTCATGCTAAAGATCCAAATAATTTGTTCATGGTGCGCATTGCGCAAGGACTGACACATCTTGGCAAGGGAACCCTCACTTTGTCACCTTATCACAGCGATAGACAACTTCTAAGTCCCGTGGCTTTGGCAGGATTGTTGGCTACTCTAATTGGCTTTCTCGATGTCAAAAATAGTAAGTTCAGTGCATGTCACTAGCGAGTCAATATTTTAGCAACAGAGTTTACGCTTTACTGTCTTTATCTCTTTGCAAATATTTTAACTGAATCATTTTGTTTCAGTAATCCTTGGTAGGTCGCATTACCTTTTGTACACACTTGCAACCGCGATGCAACCCAGAATGCTCGTCACTTTAGACGAAGAACTGACACCCTTGGCAGTTCCCGTTCGAGTCGGATTGGCTGTCGACGTAGTTGGCCAAGCCGGCAAGCCAAAGACAATTACAGGTTTCCAAACCCATACCACCCCAGTTTTGCTGGCCTATGGAGAAAGAGCGGAGCTAGCGACCGAGGAATATATACCTTTGACGCCGGTCATGGAGGGCTTCGTTGTCCTGAGAAAAAATCTAGACTTCGTCCCTTAGTTTAAGCACGGTCAGTTTTTCGTCCGAATGTACCTCTAAGTGTAATGCGGTTACTAATAAAATCGTCTGCATTCGCCTCTGCTTGGTAGTCCACTGCTGAACGTGCATACTATTTATACTTCAGGCTACTAAAGCAGAGGAGAAAGGCAGGACCTCGTTGTAATACAGGGTAGCCTTTTATACTTAGATGGTCGGACCCCTTTGTATATTTCCTGCCAAATTCAAACGCCCTTTTCAATTTTAGCTTTTCAGAGACGACGCATCTGCTACTCTTTCACTGCTATCTCGTCTTCCACGGCTTTCTTTGGCTAACGTGTTTCCTCCGTTCTCACAAATCTCATCTGTTTCTCTTGTAAAGAGGTAAAATTTTATTTTCAAATCCGTTATAAATTCAATTAATGTATGAATGAACCAATGAAAATATTCTACTTGCGGCAACCGTGAATTTAGAGCAAAATCTATCACAAGCACTAGAGAAATATTCGGAAAGGAGAATTTATCATTACAAAATCCTCGTCCCTTTTTGTAAAGTTGTTTAATAATAAAAATACAGATAAATGTATAAAATCGTGTACATCGAGTACAGTGAGTTAGCAGTAATTACGACATTATGCCTTATTACTTACGATGATCATGCATTCGCGCAGATTTTAAATTGCAGTAAGGTATTGGCAAGACAAGGAACTGCCGAGACCGTAGGAATTATTATAAAACGGTGTAAAACGTATCGTAGCTACGCTAATACTTAATTCATTTGCCATATGACTAACGAGTTAATTACGAATTCCTAAATGTTACGAGTTTCAGGAATATTGGAGAAATTTACGTTCGATCGTTCGACAGTAATTTTACGCCTCATTTTTGTCATGAATATTAAGAAATACATGAGTTAAATAACGCTTCAACTTACGGTAATAACTACATTGTTTATTTACCACGAAGGATTTATTTCTTCTGGAATTTTTATGCTAATGCTAATAATTTCCGATTAATCTAAAAAATACTGCCAATAAGTTTGAGAGAACCGACAAGCCCTCTCTAGCACCTTTCTATGTTGATAGTAACTCTTAGTTTAACGAATTCTTCTGAATTGCTGCATTAAATTATTACTTAGTATATTTCACAGGTGTACATTCTAATTGAGACTCGGTAAAAAATTATGCAGTACTTGTACAGAAAAATATGTAAATTCATCTGCTCTGTTGTATAAATTCCTTTAGGCATTTTCCTTGGAATATGTTATTAGGTGTACTCTCAGTCTCCTTGTTCCCTTCCTCGTTATCTCTGAAGCCCATTTTATATAAAAAACGCATGTACGTGAAAAAAATTGTACAATTCCTTCATAGCAAGAGTACTTTAAACCCTACCTTTCTCGTTAATTGTCAGTAATAATATATCCACATCGCGCCGATACAGATCTTGATTTCACTCCGATCCTTTCACACAATATTTACATTGTATCAACAATCAAAAGATTATTGAGATACCGCGTGCAGTAATGCCCTACCATTTAAGAGACATTAGAACAATTGCATTGAGCGGAACATATAAATATCTTTAAAAAGTCTTCGTTATAAATAATCATACAATAGTCGTTGAATAACTTTAAATAGAATATAAACTTATTTAACATATATAATTCTGTACGGTAAATATACCGAGTCGGAAAGTGTAAAACTGATAAAAACTAATCGATGCATTTCCGTACGAAGAATGAATAATTCGTGAACGTATTCAAATTTTTATCCCAATTGTCATTCAGTTCAGTCGAGTTACGTTACTCAACATTTTACGAATTATCGAAATCTTTATGTGAAATTAAAACGCTAGAATGAATCAAATGGTGCAAATGAGTATATCAACCATGATTATGATTTAATATACAAATGTTTTTGTGCAATGATCATCTTAAAATGTTTGAAACCGGGGAATACACCAGAACTTGCAATTCGGCAAAATTTAATATCTACAGTTTCTTATTATTCGGAAAAAACCGAGATATTAAATTATATTGAATTAGCAGATTCTTGTAAGCCTCTAATAGGTTTCACGTTAACTTACTAGTAGCGATCGCTCTCTACTTTCATCGTGAAATGTAGTTTTTCAAAACTATCTTCAGTACGACTTAATCAACTAATAACTGGAAATTAATATTTGCATTGGCGTTACTTGTTCTTCATTTACAGAACTGTCTCACAAATCTTTGTTAGCAGTAATTCGTCTCCATATTGCGATGAACGGTGACTGGAGCTAGGACATGATGAGGTGACCCCAGATGCGTCGTGGGAGACGGAGGACTGGTAACTTGTCTTCCTAAATCGGGTTCGGCATTGCCACCAACGATCAGCAGAGGTTCAGCGAACGTCTGTTGCTCCGAGTCGTCATGGGGTGTCATAGTACTATATCCGTGGTCGCTATCACCACCAGGAGGTCTTCTGTAATTAGTGGACACTCTGTAGGGCGATATCGGTGCGACGCCTTCCCGAAGAAGGGAATCCAGGTTACTCTTAGTCTGATCCATTTCCATAGGTTCGACATCTCCATCTAGATGTGACATACGTAATGCATCAGGAGAGGGATGCACATGTAAGCACTGATGCTCCAGTCCTGATTGTATACTCCGAAGCCTATAGCAAAAGAGAGTTACACCTAGAACCAATACTAAAGCCAGGATTCCTCCAGCAACAGGGCCTACGGAAGGCCACTCTCGAGTCATGACTTCATCGGTTGACTGAGAATCTGGAAAAAGTATTTTCTTATAATCGGAATAATTAAAAAGTGCTAAAATAATTCCAATGTATTTCATTTTTTATTAATTTTTAATTCAAAACAAAAAAATAGAAGAAACGTTGTAACTTACTGTAGGTTCCATCGCTATATGGTATCAAAGATCCAAAAATTCCTCTAAAACATAATGACATGTCGGAACAATATGGAATTGGTAGTGGAGTCTCTCCATCGCTATCTACGTGACACCATTGACACCCAACTATGCCAAGGCATTCGCGCTCTGTCTCGTATGCTTTACAGTTGAACGATGGGCATGGTTTTAGTGAAGTTAATTGTGCCCATGGTGTTTGCAACGTAGCACCTTGCTCATATGGAGCTTGGCATGGTTCGTAACTACTGATGTTCGGTTGAATACAACCCGAAGAGTATAGGGAACACTCACAAGGACATTCGCATTCGGTCTGTTCCATTCTTTTACAATTTAGACACAATCTATCCATCTGTAAAAATATTTCTTCGGTAGTGATTTAAAAATATACTTTATTTAGGACGCAACGTGGATAGTAATTATTTTAAGCGATTCACTTACTGTGCTGCAAGGACAGAACGCGCTACGTAGATTACAAGGTGTAGTCACATTGACAACACCAAGGAAGACATTTGTTCCAGGTACAGCAGCAATTTGGTACCTTACACAGTGCTCTCCGTGAACTATGTTCGTTAGAACTTCCTCCAAGGAGGTATTGAATTCGTAATACCTTTGCGTAGTGCCATCTAAATAACTTGCGCACAACTTCTTCTTAACAAACAATTCGTGATTTAATATATCGTTGGCTACTAAAACTTCTTTGTGCGTTAAATGTTGTTGCTCTACTTTACTGGAGGGATCCAATAAAGAAGGATGAAATATTAAATAGCCTTTATCATCCATCAAGAAGCACTTCACGCGAGCCTCGTTACAGAAAGGGAACATTTCCGATAGGAGTCTTGAAATGTATCCCATTGTAATGTCCATAGACATTACGGCCAAAAGGGGATCGGTGCTTGAATGAAGTGCAACGGAGCGACCTTCATAAACGGTGTGACTCAAAGTAACCACATAGCCTGCCCCACCTGCGTCTAGGTAAGGTGTCGTTAGAACGATTTTCCCAGGATGTTCCATTGCTTTTCCATACCATGCTCGTCTCTTGGGATCCAGCCCCGAGTCCAGCACCATTCCTGGATACATTTCTAACACTCCGCTGACTGCTGAGACAATGTACCTAATAAACAAGCGAATTTATATATAGTTAGGTATTATACACTAGATGTAACAAATAATATTTTTTAGTACATTGAAGTTGTAGCACACCTTCTTATTATAAATTTATTTAACGCGCTCTCTTTGTGCCGCCGCTTAAAATGGTCTAAACTCTGTGCCAATGTGGCCACATCAGGTCTAACAGATGGATGAAGCCCTGGATTTGCGAGAAGTCTGGTCAAGTCCTTAATATATGCCATGTAGCTTTGAACGGTCACTGCTGAACCTGTTTCCAAAAGCTTTAACTGTTCCATTGGAGATTGGAAACACCACGGTGAGAGATAAACGACTCCTGTTGCTAAAAATATAAGAGACTATTATATTCTTGAAAGGAAAACGTATTGAAAGCTCTAAACATTCAATTGTGTCTACTTACCCAAAGTGGCAACTCTATTCTGATACGTACAAAGAGTGTCTTTGTTCACAACGGACTGCGACATGAGATCGAGTCGATGATGTAAAATATTCGATGGTAAAGGAGATATAGACTGTACAAACGGTAATAACTCTCCTTTGCCATTAGACACTATACATACTATCAAATCTCCATAAATCAAGTGTTTCCATCTCAAATGTTTCTACAAAAAAAAAAGAAATATATTCATAGAAAATATTCGAAATAAAAATTATCGTAAATAATGATCGTACCATAATGTTTAATTTTGTTCTTGTCTCTAATTTGCCTTCAGTTTCATTAATCATTCTGTTTACAATTTTTTTGTCCAGATTTTCGATGTCTTGTACATAAACTTTCAGTGGTTGCTCTAACATGGTATCCATTCGTGGAAAATCTTGATGCATCCACACTATTTTTTTTTTGTCAAATAAAATTGCATAAGCATTTGGACCAGCATTAAAATAAGTAATATCTTCGAGGAAATCCCGTAATTTAACATCCAGGGAGAGAAGAGCAGTATTTGTTATTTGCCCAACCGACAGAGTCATTGCTTTACTATATGGTTCAAAATATGGATCAGATAAATAATAATCTTTTTTTTGGTTATTGGTACATTTCAAACCAGAAAAAAGTCGCGCAATTTCATATCCAAGTACATTCTGCGTTGGCAGCGTAATAATACTTCCATTTTTAGAACTCTCCTTAATATTTACATGTGGTTTCAAGTCTGAAAATAAAATGACACGATATACAATTTAAAACTTAATCCACAGAAAGGGAGTTAAATATTATACATACCAGAAAGAATAAGAATCGTGCGTAAATATGCAACCAATGTCTTTGAAGAAAGAGAATTGACAATATCCTTGACATTTGTTATATCCTTTAATGTATTAGTTATGTGGATGACAACTACTTCTCCACTTAAACTTTTTGTTAAAGCTCCAAAATTTATACTGAACGTCTGATTTGAATCTAAAACAAAAGTATATAAAACTTATTAAGTACGTTCTGCTGCAATGCAAAAATATATTTATAAGCATGTTTTACCAGTTCGTGTTATGGTGTCGATATGTCGAGCCAGTTGATACTTGGTAATATCTGTCGCTCTCATAAGAGTGTCTTTACAAAGTATCGAACCACGGCCTGCAAGACCAACAACGGTTGCGTAGTCAATTTCCGATAACATGTCGATTATTGTTTTAGCCATAGTCTGTGCCAAAGCAACATCTCCATCTGACATAAACATTCCGTGCTCCAGTAATAAAATAATTTTCTTTGGACGACTGCACTGAGACAGCAGCAACGGTCCAATATTATGTGCAAGACTAGGAGGGCCACACATGGTTCCAGGTTGACTCACCGGTAGAACATGCAAATATTTCCAATCCTGTCCTCTTAATTTGCTTGCCATTGCTGAAATGGACAAAATACAATTTCGCTATTAAATCATTTACTTACAAAATTAATCTTACTTAACTTAAAAAATCAATTAATTTCAAATATACATGATTTAAAAATATACCTCCTAAGATTTGAACACAGATGTCCGAGACTCTGCCCTGCATTAAATCCATTCGAATATTTTGGTTAGAATAGCTAGGATGATTCCGTGTCTTCAACAGAATTGGTTGTATGACGTCGTTACTTTGTCTCAATAAATCAACATAATAAGACAACTTAGCATTCAACTTATCGACTAGTGTCATAAGTCTAACGTCTAAGCCTTCCGAAAAGTTTACAAATTCCAGTTTATCAATTATCTCCTGAAATGCAGTAACACCTAGCTCTTCGTTACCAATCGAGCGAAGTGTCTTAGACAGTTGGAGAACAATGTCTCTGAGACATGTTCCAGCTAGAGGTTCTGCATCAATTTGTTTACGCATGGGCTTGCCAAACTGACATTTGATGTTGGTTGCTCGCACATCGTCAGTTTTAACACGCACCACAGTCAACACGGCTAGGCCGAAGCACAGAATTTGTTTAAAGGCCATTCCGTTTTTACTGTTAACCGGAGCGTCTTCAGATACCTTGTTAAGGCTTCTCTCTTAACCGAAAATACCACATAGTGCGGATTTTGCGTCGTTCCAACATACAAAATGAGGAACAAAGTATTCTCGCGTAAAATGGGATTCGAATATTACAACATTATTAAAACAAACATTGTTAAGCCACTACGTTACGTTACTACGACCATCTATTTACATACAACCGTATACAACAATATCAAAGTTGAACGAACATTGACGTAAAATGTCGGAAGATCATCAACTCCATGCGTATTTTTATTAGACTACTAATTTCAATAAATTCAAAGCCGTCGGTAACTTAGCCGGAGTCTCACTACCGACGTCGGGTGTCACACAAAATGCGGCGCGTAAAGGCGTCAGGTGGTGAGAAACCAATCAGAATTACGCTTAATATCACGTGTCACGTCTGCCGCAGTTCTGATTGGTTTATTACTCGCAACGTCTTGACACGACACAGTAGAACTTCGGTCTTACTCCCTTGTTATTCCAGTTCCCATTTTTCTCATAAGATGTGCTGTTCACTACCCTCGTGCATGCCAGTGAGCGTCACGATTATCAACATCTGAGGTAATCTAATATTTCCTTTACCACCACTGGCGGGAAAGAAAATAAAAAATACACAAGCAGCCGGTATTTTATGTGGTGCGAATTTTATTTTTGTTGTAGATAAAGTTCCTTTAAAGGCCATCGGTAGATAAGTCCGTACAAGTCACATAACCTAGTTACGTGATATCAGTGCGAGTATAAATGCAAATTATCCAGCTACTACGAAAATAGTAACTGTTACTCCAAAACCAAGAAAATAAGGTTAAAAATGTCGAGGCTCTTCGGTCGTAAGATCTTTGACACTTCGAATGTTTTAAAGAAAATTTCACAAACCAGTGTAACATCGGTCAGAAATTTGAATCTTCTGGAATATCAGAGTAAAGTGTTACTGAAAGATAGCGGAATCTCCGTGCAAAACTTTTGTATCATTGATGACCTGAACAAAGCAAAGTCAACTCTTGAGAACTTTCGTTAGTACTTTGTTTTGTTATCATACTTAATTAATGATTTTCAATTTATTATTTTTACTTGTCTTCTTATTTTTTTTGGGAACCTATATTACTTTAGATGCAGACGAATATGTCGTTAAGGCTCAAGTTTTGGCTGGTGGACGTGGGAAAGGTTGGTTCGACAATGGATTTAAAGGTGGTGTACATCTTACCAAAGAGTAAGTACTGAATTTTTTTATATAGATAAGAGTGATGATAATCATGTTAATACTTAGTTTTATTTTGTAATGGTTTTTTGTATAGTCCGAATGCTGTGCTAGATACCATAAAGAATATGTTGGGCCATAGGCTCGTAACTAAACAGACTTCAAAAGATGGAATACTCGTGCATAAAGTTATGGTTGCAGAGTCAGTGGACATTGCACGTGAGACTTATCTGTGCATTTTAATGGATCGACAATATAATGGACCAGTTTTAATTGCTTCTCCATCGGGGGGAGTTGATATTGAGTCTGTTGCTAAAAAGACTCCTGAACTTATCAAAACTTTACCTCTGGATATTTATTCTGGAATTAGCGACGATACCGCCAAAGAGATCGTTAACTTCTTAGGTTTCAATGAGAAAGATCTTGAAGAAAAGGCAATAAAAGAATTAAAAAATTTATGGAAATTGTTTGTAGACATTGATGCACTGCAATTAGAAATCAACCCCTTTGTAGAGACCAAGGACAAACAAGTAATTGCTGTCGATGCAAAGATATCTTTCGATGATAATGCACAATTTAGACAGCAAGATATTTTTTCTATGGAAGACAATAGTGAAAAAGATCCACGAGAAGTGGAAGCGTCAAAATACAATTTAAACTATATTGGAATGGATGGAAATATAGGATGCTTAGGTTGATATTAAAAATTTTTTTTTTTATCAATTCAATGCATTGTGAATGTAAGGACAGTAGTACACTGGTGACATTTTTTGCACAGTAAATGGAGCTGGTTTGGCAATGGCTACAATGGATATAATCAAGTTGAATGGAGGAACACCAGCTAACTTTTTAGATGTAGGGGGTAGCGTGAAAGAGGAACAGGTTTATCAAGCATTTCGAATACTTCTTGAAGGTGAATATAAAATTTCATTGATTAAATATATTTAATATGAACTAAATTATTTTTTGTATAATTGTAGATTCTAAAGTCAAGGCAATTCTTGTGAATGTATTTGGTGGTATCGTTAATTGTGCCACCGTTGCCAAAGGAATTGTTGCTGCAGCTAAAAAATTAGGATTAAAATTGCCATTAATTGTTAGATTAGAAGGTAAGTTAAGTAGCGGATACAAAATCACCATTTAGGCATCGGGGTAAACCAAAGAGATATTTTATCTTAAATGAATTATATAAAGACTATAATTTATTGTTAGGTACGAACGTGGCAGAGGCAAGAAAGATTCTTGCCGATTCTGGATTACCTATACTCACTGCTAACAATTTAGACGAAGCAGCAAAGAAAGCCGTTGCATCCATAAAACCTTAATTATTTCAAATATATTCTTAACACATTGCACGTGTAACTTACACGAGTGATAGGATTGGTACAAATGAGAAGAAATATTTTCAAACTAGAAAAGAGAATGAACGATATTTTCATAAATCAATTATTTCTGTGGCTGCAATCCATACAATTTGTAAGTAAATTTCGTCAATACCCAAAGCAGAATAATGACACTTTTTAGTTACATCCTTAGTTGTACGTAATGGGAAGTCTGTATTTCCTGTATGTTATTTTATTATTTTCGTGTATACTGTAAGCGTTATATCACTTGTTACAGCTTTTATGGAATACATTTTTATAAAGTTACGGTTACCATTGATCTCATTCATTTATTTATGATTCTTTGATTAATCCATGTATACATAGAAATAAGTATAAAGAGTGAAATTCTTTCATAGCCATCCAAGTACTATAAAATCTTACAGTGCCGATCGAGAAAATCGAAGTCAGTTGTACAGCTTTCGCAGATGTTACGTATACAACGAAACATGTCGCAGCCTCATTATCCGAGTATGGTCTTGAAAACCGGCGTTGAAGAAACGAAACTTACACGAGATCGAAGTCGGCATCGTGAACCTCGGCTCGAAAGGAACGCGTGTGCGTATACGCATTAAAACGTCCTCGCTTGGTCGTGGATGTCCATATATAGTTGACCATTTTTAAGTCACTTTCGAAGGTAATACTTCGTCGAGCTCGGTGACTTCTCCAGACTGCTCGGTAGGTCGACTAGTTAATAAAAAATCTTTAGATTGTAAACTTAACGGAAAGCGTCGCAAATTGAATTTTCCTAAAAGAAGCACACATTGCAAAATTACTCGATTATGCATTTTATTATTTCCTTGGACGTGAAATATTTTTAATATTCGGCAAACTCAAAGGTGGGAACTTTGGTGCCACTTTCCGTAAAAGGTAACTTGGGGATTATCGAGAAGCAATTGACCCTTCGAGCTCGAGTACGCGTTATGTCAATCGAAGATCAAGTACCCTCGACGGAGAGTCTCCGTCATGGGCAACCCAGACCCGCGAGTTCGCGGGTCGTGTACCACTGAATGAGTACCGTCTCTGGCAACGCCAGGGACCAGATCAGAATATGAGTCATTATATAATGACGACATTAAGAAACGTGGGTGGTCACGTTGATGTTTCTAACGCCGCGACGTTGCTCGGCGCATCGAATTAGAATAGGATTTCGTTTTATCCTTAGTCCGTATATCCAAAGTGTTTTCCTTACGGACGCCAAAAATATCTCAACATTCATGCATCTTGTCCACTGCCAAGCGATTTTCGAGACCCAAAACTGATTCGGATGAGTCATTGTGTCTCTTTTCCCGACGACACGTCACGGATGTCTAGATCGCGCTAGAATGAAAATAAAACGCTTTGTCATAATCACCCCCTTCAGGGAATCATTTCCTTACTAGAGTCCTGCAGCATTCTACCCGTTAGGAATTTTTCCTAAAATCATTGGCAGTTCCACGGTTCGCCGGAGGAAAGCAAAAGGGCCGCGACGGTGCCGCTCCTTCCGCGTTCCCGTGGCCGTCGTCGCCCCGAAGTCCCGCCGCCTGCGGAGCGCGACTCGCGGACGACTCGGCGGACATTTTTATCATTTTTTCTTTGGCCCGCGCCGTGGGCTTCGCTTTTGTCGTTCGAGAATCCCCCTCGAGAGTTCGATAGACGTCGGCAGGACTCGTCGCCGCGTGTGCCGGTGTGTAGGGGGGCGAGGTGTCGCGTATATATAGAGCGGTCCCCTACCACCGAAAGTTGGGCGCTGGCGGGGGCCGCGACGCGCGCGGGGAATCGCGCTTCAAACGCGCGAGGGACCGAGAACTATTCTTGGATAACTTCACTCAGATCTGTTTTCGCGCTCGCTGCGGACACGGCGAACCGCTACCGATCCGCCGCTCCGAAAGAAAACCTGCCGTCGAGACTCGCGGCGTGCTCGGCTACCGTCTCTCGCCGATTCGATATTCGACTCGATCGCGCCATCGCGCAGTCGCGTCAACGCAGCTTACCCCGTGCGCCGCGGCGGAGCGCACGACCGACGACCAGGTAAATCCGAGGAAATTGGTGGAACCTCCGTCGAGAGAAGTTCATCCAGGTGAAGTCGCATTCCACCGCAAAGGTAGTCGTGGCGATAGGCAACGCTTCGAGTCGTCGAGAGAAGCGTCGGGGTGGATTTGCAATTTTTACTCCAGGTGAACGCTTCTCTGTGAAATCTACCGAAACCAACGGCCGTTGTTCGACTATTGGCCGATTCGATATTTCGATTCGAAACGACTGCCTGCTCGCGCGGCGCGTCATCGGTGAGAGTGGAACGGTAAATCCGGCAGAGATTGCTTGAATCTTTGCTCTTTTTGGAGACCCTGCCGATTTTTGCCATCCCTAAAGATGGTTTAAGTGAATTTTTACAGGGGGCAGAAATTCTTCACTCGCTGGGTTTGAATTCGATTGGTCAACGGCGGCCGATTCGATATCTCGATTCAATTGTATCGCGCACCCGCGCAGTGACGTCCGCGCCGAAGAGATATGTGAGGTTTCCATCAGGGATTTTACTTTGCACTGCGTTTACGTCGGTAATGGCATTCCATGGGAATGAATTATTGAAGGTATTTCCTTTAGATATTCCACCGATTGAACGGAATTCCATTTTGTTCTGCCGTGGGATTCTAGCTAACCTGACGTCAGCGATGCTCATCTCGATTCGAGTCGTGATCGCGCAATAACTCGTTCCGTTTCCGGCGAGTTTCGAAAAATTACAGGAGCTAGGCACGGGGAAGTTTAGCTAACATCCGCCCGGATAATCGATAAATTTGAAAGAAATTCCATCGTAATAATTTAATTTCCACCCGTTGTCTGATAAGGATACCTGCACTAGAAAGGGTCTCGTTCGTTTGACCCGTTCTTGACCAATACTTGAAACTCGCATTTCGCTTCAATTCTACCAGATCGAAGGCGCGCGCTGGTCCATGACTCAACGTCCTTCGAGGACTCATCCGAAGAAGGACCAGATAAACTTGATCAAGAGTGGAATAAGTTACTGGGTTGTCGGGGTGCTCGCGAATCCGTGTCACAATTTGTCATATATTTTATCGATCGATATTCGCCCTGAATTTATGAACGCAAATCGCTATCCATCAAAGATATCGACAACCAATCGAGGTTTTTGGCCCCGACCCGTCGCTGCAGAAGACATTGACACTTTGACGTTCGCCAATTCTCAGAGACGCCTCTGTACGCGTTCGATGCTTTTTCATGCGCTAGCTAGTTATGTATTATACGTATACACGTTATCAGCTAATGGTTCGTCTTTTTGTACGAGGAGGGTTCCGTCTCCATGGCTTTTGCCGATAAATCTTAACTGGAATAACGGCACTCGGTGCGCGGAGTTTCGCGCCGTTTTTACGCGAGGTAGTATTCTCAGCTTTAGTAATATTATTTTCGTCCTACTGGCAGCGACATTTTGTAGCAGCATCCCCTTGAAGGCTGCAACGAGTCTCCGATAGTCACGTTCAAGAAAGTCCAAGAGACGGGAATTGTTTTCACTTGGCTTCCAATCGTTGACTCACACCGATAAGATTCGAAATTGGAATTCTCTTACGAGGATTCTTAAACGGGACTATGACGATACAAAAGTGATGCAATTAACGTCGTTCGCAGGAAATTACGGGGAAATAGTTACTCGTCACTTGAAGGTTTAGGAATGAAAATTATTACGGTAATCCTCGATACTCTTTAACGAATGATATAATAAATATAGGTAGTCGTCGAGCGAATTTTTCTGGAGTACCGTTGGGTAAGGGAAATTTATGCCGTGACAAAATTCAGAATTTAGGAGATAGGAGTCTCGACCTGGAGTGTAGGTAACCTTGTTGGAATCATGCGCTAGGGAGTGATAAAAATAGAGATGTCTTGAAAGCTTTGGGGGATTCTCGGATATCTAAATTTCCTGGTTTTCTCGAATTGGACCGTACCGTTTTCTTTCCACTAGCCGTTGATGCGAGTGCCTCTCTTCAATTTTCTAATGACACTATTCAAAGAGTAATCTTTAGATGCAACGCTTCACCCAGTTATAAAAGCGATAAGAGATCCACGTCCGTCAAATTCACGGCGGGAACCTCTCGAGATGAAAAATGAATTTCTCCGTCTATGCCCTCGAAGAAAGTGTTCTTTGAGTGCTTCGTAAGTTGAACCGTAAAGAGTGCGATAAAAGCGTTAATTTTAAATAGGAGCGTGAATTGCCCGAATTCTCGAATTATCGTATTTGCATTTATTCTTGCCCTATCCAACTATAGTATGGTGGTCTGACATTCTCGACTGGAGACAGGGGTTATTTAAGAATGCCGGTTGCGTGCACGCGTAATGCGAAACGGTCCTTGAAAAAATATCATATATATGTACGCGGGACCAAAAATATCTTGGCAATGATCCGTATTCGTCTAGAAGCACTTTCCGCGACAGCAATTAATTTACTATTATCCCGGATATTCCGGAATTAATAATTTTCGACGCTGGTAATTCTCCCAGCATGGTACATAGGAATGGTGAATCCTGCCGAGATACCTAAGAAAAATTGGGGATCGTATTTAAAAATACGAGTAGCAGTTTTGAAAAGAGGAAATGAAAAATGAAGCGAGAATTGAAACAATTTACTCGGTGACCGGAAATGATTGAATTTGATTGTACTGCCTAATTTGTAAGCAGGTCTTCGCAGCTGTCGCAAATGAACAGGATGCTAGTTTAGTAAGTAAATTATTGTGAATCGTGTACGTCGCTGCAAATGGGTTGAACATTTCAACAGCGACAGAGATAAATTACTCGTCACAGCATACGGTCTCCACATTGTACATCCTAGCGGTTTTGTTGCAACGCATTCTGTCATTATTGCTATCTTATTCGATTTATTCCATAAATTGCACTTATTCATGTAACAAATTTCTCATTTCCTCGTGAAATTATAAAATTGGTAGACGGTCAATTTATCGATGAAAATAATACGTTCGTCCAAAAGTGTCGATCTTTCGTCAATCGGATATTCATAGAGATCTATTAACGACGCGTTATTTCTAGAACTCCCTGTGAATGTTGAGTCGGGTCAGTCCCGCCGTGCACGTGGTATAACCTCACCCTAACCTTGCGTCTTCGACGATTGTAACTCTTTGAGCCTTTGGGCACGTGTTCTCACTTCGTCCGAGCTAAATCGTTTCGCGTGCAACGAACTTGACGCACCATTAAGTTCGCTTATAAACTGAGAAAAAAATGTTGAACCAAAGAAATGTTATGTTAATTCAAAGAATAACTATTTCACTCGAATAAACTCTAATAAATCGGACGCAACATTTATTCGGAATTATGACGATTTATTTGAGGGAAATAATTATTCTTGGACCCGGCTCAGAAAGGTAGACCTCTTCAAAGGACGTTTAATTCGCAGGTGCTCGCAGGGCTCGCCCCTTCCGGACAGGCGCACGGGAGTCCCGCTGGGTGCAGGACCGGCCGCCAGGTAGCGCGCGGCGGCAGTCAGCTGACGCGTTCGGCGGAGAGGGACGAGCGCCCAGTCTCGGCCCTGAGCTCGGCCCCTGAGGAGCGACTGCAGGCCGAGCGCGCCAGGACGGAGGGAAGCCCCCTGTCGGGCGCCGACCGCCAGCGTTCCGCCGGGGCCCCGCTCGGTCCATCCAGCGACCGACTGTACCGGTCCGGACCGGACGAACCGCTACCTCCACTGCCGCCCCCACCACCGTCGCTTCTACCGCCGAGTTCACCCGCCGGCCGATAAAATGAATGAGAACGATAAGTCAGTCGAGAGCAGGAACGCTGCCGAGGAGGAGGACGACATGTTCGAACGCGATCTCGCCGAGGACGCTCAATGGAAGAGGATACAGCAGAACACCTTCACCAGGTGGGCGAACGAGCACCTGAAAATCGTTAACAAACACATCGGCGACCTCGAGAGCGATCTGTCCGACGGGCTCAGGCTGGTCAGCCTGATCGAGGTCCTCTCCCAGCAACGACTGCCTAAATACAACAAACGCCCGACCTTCCGCTCGCAGAAGCTCGAAAATGTCTCCGTGGCTCTTAAGTTCCTCGACGACGAGGGCATTCGCATCGTCAACATCGGTAAGTTACCTCTTACCTGGCGAGGTCATACGACGGATCTTGTTTTTTTTTTTGGAGCGGAAACGTTGTATTTGGCCCATGTCCCGCCGGTATTCGAAGCCGATTCGGCTTTACTCGAACACTCGTTATGTTAATTGCCCAGTTGCGAATTCATCCGATAAAGAGGAACCCGGAAATATTTTGTATTCACGGTAAACCGGGAATTTTTTGCTAGGAATTTGCCGTTTGATCGGCAACGAGGAAAAATTGATAAATTGTGTCGCGATTCTTAAAATTTCGTGTTTCGTGTGTTCGAGTACTCCGTTGAGATTTCAGTGGTATCGTAAACGTTTGCTCGAGGTATGTACGGTTTATTGTCGGTCTTTCGTCATTGACTGGCCGCCGATTTTTTTTTTGGCAATAAGTAAATACCAATGATTTTGACGTTTTTTTTTTTCAAAATAGATTCCCTGCCTGGAATGGAAAAACGGAATGTTCACCTGAAATTTTACTTGAATACGTGTATCGGATGAGCAAATGGAGAGTTTTTTTTATAACAAGTAGTGATATCGTTTTTCCTCGGAGCGATTACATTTCTAACGGTAAACTAAGCGCAAATGAACGAGCTTCCCCGAGGTGCAAATAAAGTCGTACGATAAAGTTGCGGTTATTACTCGAAAAGTGAGGGAAATAATTCAAATTGCCCCGGCGGTCGAAAGGCCGCAGCGACGATCGAATAAATCAAGTTCCACCGAAAACTCGTCCATTATGGACACCGGCTTGCGGAAAAGATGTCTAAGGAAACGTATCGGTTTCTAGTCCGTGCGAGTACCGTGGTCAATCGAGGTTAACAACCGGGCTGACATTGGCAGTGATATACGCTAACTACTGGACTAACGAAGACCAACGAGACAAAAGGGAATACCTCGAAAGTCGAGATTCCGGGCCGCGTAACAAACTTTAATTGAGCTCGGCAATTCCACAGCACACTAGCGTTACATTTCCTAATCCACTTCGTATAAAAATTGTTAAACACGTGCACACCAAATTCATCCCACTGATACTTTAAATTTGATCCGTTAAGAAAAGGATCCACGTCCCGAATAAACGCCTAATGCGCGAACCCTGCGTGAATATTAACAGGAAACCATGGCATTACGGCATGCAACGCTCTTCGCCAAGGGTATACTTGAAACCTTGATTCCATCTCCCAAGAAATCAGAAAATTAACATTTTCATCTTCCACCTTTCGGCGTTCCCAGCTCGCTTCATGACATGGGCCTTGCTTTAATTCGACGCAACTTCCACGGCAATCGGAATGCCACGTCCCTACCACGTCTCCTGGGAAGATGAGAACACCTAACGCTTAAATCCTGTAGTCATTTTAACGTGGATATTCACGCCTCGGGGTATTACGGTACATTCGAGGATGGCTCGCGCCGGGAAAGCATTTCCTTCCCTGCTGACCGTGCTCGGTCTCGGGTTCGAAATCGCGTCGTCCGCGGCACCTTAACGTCGCCGGCGTCAGCATCTTTCCTTCCTCCCTTCCAGGGTCCGCGGTAGCTCGTCTTCGTCGACGAAACCTCTGCCTCGAGCCGCTCGAAACGGGTTTCGTTGAAACGAAAGAGTCTCCTATGGTAGATCACTCGGGATCTCTTCGGGCGAAGGCCCGACTTGGAATCGATCTCGGACGTCCCTCCAGCATTCCGTCCGGAGCGAAGAGACTTCCGATGACAAAGGCAATCGAAAATCGGCCTAGCGAATGGTAAACAATAGAGAAGTCCCCGATCGATACCACCGCCCGGGCGAGTTCTCTGCGTTGACCGCTTTTCCGTCTCTGATCAACTTTCAGGGCTCTGTTTTATTTTTCATCCCTCCATGCTACTCTTTCCCATGCTTCTTGGAATTACGTCTGGTCGCTGAAGAGCGTAAAAGCATGAGGTGCGTTTTTGTGGGAGGAAAGTAGGTTTAAAGTGGCCTCTTGGCTTCGCGCTTAAGGTCGAGGTTGGAAGGATTTCGGTGTTACCTTTTTATCGGCCTCGGTTGGGACAATCATCGAATGGGATTCTCAAGCGAGGGGGAAGTATGATGGATTCGAGTTTCGACCGTGGGATTCATTTACTTTTTGTTCCTTTTATCGCTCCATCTCGTTTATCGAATTCTGATTTGCTTTTCACGTGCGAATGCATGACTCGTCTCAAGAGCTTTCCCCCAGTATCGGACGGACGCGATCGAAGTCGCTTCCGTTGGAGCCGATAAATACACGGGGGCGATTGGTCGAAAATTGGGGGAGTTAACGCGCCTGCGCTACTCTGGTTCAACCACGTGTTGGCGGCGACCACTTGTTGATCTTCCCTCGGGTTCGCAAGGGTCGGTTTTAGGGTGATTACAGTGCAACGCGAATCCGCTTCCAGGATGCCGAATTTTATACTCTTCCTAGCCTAGTCGGGACACCTTATCCCCCGAATGTCCATTGTCAACGAATAATTCACTCATGACTCGTTTTAAATTCCAACCGAGAATCGTGATCGAATCCTCCGAGAAGCGCATTACGCACGTGTCAAGGGAAACTCAAGTGAATCGATTTGAATATTGGCGCATGTGACGTCACCGTCTACTACGCGTAGGGTATGACGTCAGCGGTGACGCGGAATAAACGGGATTAAGTTCCGTTTACAAGTGGCATGTTTCAGGAGAAAGGGTGAAGGAGGCGGTCCACCTTGTTGGGATTTTTTTATGCCCTGAAATATGAATACCTTTTGAACCTTGCATTTATTCCCATTGGGGGGAAATCCAGTCGCGGTCTCTCGACTTAATGCCAGAGTAGACGCGTCTAGAATCGATCCGCATGGTTAAATCGAGTTGCATCCCACGTTAACCACTTGGTCGGCATGGTTACCGCTAATCCGAGAAGTACGCTCCGTTAGTTGCAATTGGCTCCTAACCACTGTTATCGTTTCAGTAATCGCGCTACTCTTGCGGTCGCACGCGTTTACCCCGTTCCCCGTATTAATTTCAATCGACGCGATGGTTGCCAAATCCGCGGATTAATAAATATCTCCGCGGCTCGAGAAGAGGATGCCGTTCCCTGGCGAAGCGGTACCATGGCTGATCCGACCTTCACCTGGTCCCCGGAATACGCCCGCTTTCACCTCACCTCGGAACACCCACTTGGATTCATCTCTGTGAGATCGAGATAACGTTAATAACGCTTTCGGGCCCGAAAGACCGCTATGAATTTCAAAGCGAAATTCATTCCGTTAAATTAGACGGCTGAACCGACCTTAAAGGGTTAGTTAAAATTCATCGGCAGAGAGAGATAAATACGTCCATGGGTATCTCGGGGTTGAATTAGTTTAAGCTGGATTAAGGCTAGGCTCGGGTAGGTTGGATCGGTCTCGCCGAAACTCGAGATTCAGGTCCTGAGTTCTTGGAAGCGAGGGTGTCACAAAGCGGGGATGAAAGAGGAAAGGACGCGAGGGCAGAAGTAAAAAGGAAGTAGACGAAAGGAATGGGAAGGGCCGCCCGACGAGCTTCTCTTTTGGTGAAGTAATCGTTTAACGATCGGTGACGTCACCGTCTAACCTCGCATTACACGAGTGTCAGGACGATCGTCACGGTGATTAACGGATGCCATGGAAACAATAATGGCGTTATTATTCCCGTCGCGTGGTCGCGATCAAATGGCGTCCTCGACGGTCCGTCGTAATTTTTCTCACTCGGCTAGATTTTAATTTCTAATCAAGGGTCCTTTATCGGTAAGGACCGGTCCTTGTGTCGTTCCTCACTTTGATCGCCGTTGCCGATATTGGACGGAGGCAATTCCGAAAAGCCTGCATTCGGAGGTGCGTTGAATTCTGGATTCAAAAGGCTTCATTTAAGATTTCTTTCAAAGCTAATATTGCCTCGAGTGAGTATAAAAAGCGTCGGTGACGTCACCGGCACCTTTGCGGGACGATCTACCTGTCGGCTCCGAATCGTCGCGTCTGGTGCGCAATTTCGACATCTTGGCGACCCGCTCGCCGAACGAAATACAGGAGAAATTTTAGATAAGGACGCCACTTTTTATTTTCTCCGAGGTCACGATTACTCCCTCGTCCCTCCCCTACCGAGAGAAGCGTTTGTCGAGAATATGGAAATCCACTTCCTGGGAGTTTCTGCGTTGGCTCCGGAGAGCTTGACAATTTTTGAAACACTTGACCCCAAGGGCACGACCGACCTCGCGGAAAAATTTTTCGGAGAGGGCGACGAACAATGGGGTTTACCTGGCCCCATTGTTGCAGCGGGGATATGAACGACGAGGCTCCGTTTTAAAAGTGTATGGAAGAAGCGCGCAAACGACGTCGACGACGGGTTTGGAGAACAAACGCGTCGACGGCTCTGAATCATCGGAGGTTCGTTTGAACGTTCTGCACGGCAGACACCCGGGTAACGAAGAGTTCACATGAATATGGATGTCAGTGGGGGGTCTCGAAGGTTTAACATTCAGATGGAAGGACCCAACGAGCCGTGTTATCGAGCCTCGACGACGAGGTATCGACGCCCGTGAAACGCGATACGAGGTCGATGCAGGAACATCGCCCCCCGGTCGCTTTTTCTAACGGAAGGTGTATCTCGTCTAGGGTCAACTCCTTACCTTCTAACGGTCGCGTCTCCCCCTTCAACTAGGAGCTAAGTTTAATCCAAAAGAATAACTACCCATTCCAGGTAATTGCAAGCTAATTGCAGTCAATCTGCATCGGGCATCTCTCCAAGTGCCCGGCGAAACTTCAATTCGCGTGGGAATATCGCCATTTACCGGCCACGCGGAATTGGCACTCTCCGAGGTTCTGCCTCGAAAAATGGGTAATGGAGGCTAACCGCGGATATACCAGGGACGGATTTGATTCCTCGCGATAAGGATAGACCCAAGTCGGATTCGGTATTTACCCCTTTCAGGGGAATTTTTTTACAGGGGGCATTTTTTTATCTCCGACCGTTCGAAAGGACCCCAATCCGGGTGCTGACTCGGTTAAAGAGTAATCCTCGATCGTATGTGCTGGGAATGAATTCAACTCCCGGGTGCATCCTCGGGATCGGAAGTGCATCGCGGAAGTGCATGAAGTTGGTCGCCAGTCGGCGCAAAAATCCCCGAGTTTCCAATCCGATCTCGAATCGGTGCCGGCTTAGGGGACTACTCGTTCATCGAGTGGTCGTCGATCGTGCTACTTTTAGCAAGCTCTCTTAACATCGAGCCGCTTCTTCATCTTCCAGCCGATCGCGGTTACGTGCATTCCTCTCGTGCCGTTTTCAAGGCCCGGCTCCGATGTCCCTGCGTCGGGAATGCGTCGACCGTTTCTAAACGATCGTCGCTCGATTCTTCCGATTCCTTCACGATTTGCACTTAATTGCGGCGAAGCATCGGAAAGGACCGTTCCGGGTTTCGCGTTCTTCCATTTTCAGAATTGTCCCTTCAAGGTCTAGGCGGATTCGCTACCAAGATCGAGCCCAAAATTTCCTGGCAATCGGTCCATACCGTTTCGGGCAATTGCGGTTAATACCGGACTCGTAGACACAAGTCCAGGACTAAAGTATCTCTCCAGCGATCACGGTTACAGGAATTCCGTGCATTCCGTTCGAGCTGCCGTCCTGCAATTTCCAAAGGCCTCTACACTTAAGCGCAGGGACGATGGAGTATGCATTTTCGATCGTCCCGTACAATAGTTGGTGATTCAATCCGATTTTCGATCTCTTCGAAATTCTTTAATCGCGGATGAGAAATTATTTCATAAGCGTTAATATCGTGCCGGGGTGAAAGATTGTAGATACGTATCTCGTTATGGATATTCGGCAGGGTCTCTACCGCTACGCCATGTTCAGCGAATTCTTCCGCTCTCTTGTAACAGTGGGCCGCTTCTTCGTGTTCGTTCCTCTCTCGCCGGCTTCGGCGGTGTGTCGGTTTCAAGGTCTGTCTCCGATGGACTTGCATAGAAGTTGCATTCGTGGTCGCCTTCGAATCGCCGGCACGTTGGTTGCCTTCTCCGGTCCCCTGTTCCTCTTCTTGGTCGAGTTCTTCGCCGATTTCTTCGGCAATTGCTCCCCTTCGTCTCGCTTGTCTTCGGGCCGACCGAGAACCGGCCTTTCATCATTCATGCCCTCCCGACTATTCGGGGAACGATCTTGACCATCAAGGACACGAGGTGTAGGGTCGAAGGTGGTAGGTTCTCAACCACGAAGGGACGAGGATTATTTACCTGCTGGGTTCTCAACTCTATACGCGCGAAGTCGGCTGGACCGTTGTCATCGCGTCGAGATATCTATTTTCTGACATATTTCCTTCCCAAATTACCTTTATGATTTATTTTTCCCGCCGTTTCTCGGGTTATCTATTTTATCTTTGTTGGCGGCGACACTTGGCATTTTGGAGAACGCTCCCGGAATTTTATTACGTTTCTCTTCTCGCGTTTGTTTTCTCTCGGCAAAAACCAGGCGGCGTTTAAGTGTCGATGCACCTCGCCCTGAGAAACTCTTGAAGATCCACTTAGGGGCCGAGTAACTGGCTGGCAAGTGTGTCATGTGATACAGGGAAGCGTTGCCCTTCTTGGATCAAAAGCCGACTGAAACGGTGCCTCGGGATTTCCGGTCCATCTCTGAACTGTGTTAACGGAGAACAATCCCGTAGGAGTTACGTGGGCGGCCAAGTAACGTGAGACACTCTTTTGTGCGGCGACGCACTCTCGTCTTCTGGTACTCGAGACTCTTGTCGTGGTACCTAGTACCTAGACGCGATAATTGCATTTGCACTTAACCCGTGCGTTGCCACCCGAGCCTCAAAAATCACTCGTTTTTACTTTAAAATCCTCGATGTACCAACGAATCCGGTCATAGGTATTTAAAATTGCTGATTGGCCATTTTTATACGCCCTGCATTGATAGCGGATTCGAGGAAAATCGTTCCAAGACTGAAAAGTACAATTTGTGGTTTTACGCGATCCTTTATCGTAGCGACCGCAGGAAGTATGCTGATTAATAAAGGGAAGTGTTTCGTTGTATCGATGTAGATCCTAGGAGAAAATTGTCGACGCGCGGTAAATGATTTCAATGGTGTTTGATAAGAAACATCGTAATTCTTTTTACAACCCAGGGGAAAGCATTAATGTCGGTATTTTTTGACGTTACTTTGCAAACCGTGATTCATCTCGACTTCGCGCTAACCGAGACGAAACTCCGTCGGCCCGAAAACCTTCGCGTTCATTCTTCGTATACTTGTCCTCGAGAAATTTAAAGGCACTACGTGGATTCGTTCGAAACCGGTGACATCACCGTTTGCGTGCTAATTGTACGGTCGCGAGACATTCCTCCAGCTTTGTCCATTTCTTTTTTTTTTTTTTTCTCTCACTTTGAATCGCGCGAAAGAAATGTTAATTTACCCGTGGGATTGGTAAATTGGAAACTTAATTTTTCTATTATGTTTTTCGAGCGTAATAAAATATTTCCAACCAGGCAAGCGAACGTTGATTTAATGTTGGGTTATGTAGAATGTAGATACGTCCGAACAGAAAATATCAAGCTGTTGACCTTGACATGTTACGTTACAATCTAAAGAGTCACCGGATGCTGACCATGCTTGAGCATGTAATTTTTATTAATAGGTACATTACATTTATCACGTGAACCACCGCTTGATGCGTCACCGCTTGCTTATTACTTAAACGGAAGTGCGGTAAATCTTGGGGGAAGACCGGCAGTTTCGGATTAACTTTCCGAATCTTAAGCATCGATTAAACCCGAGGGAACACTTTACGTTAGTCCGTTGCTTCCTCGGAAGGTAATAACGAAATCTGGGAAATGGACGTGGGAAGTGTCTCAGTAGGCAGAAGTAATCTAGGAATATGGGGAGTACTTTAAAGCCGTTGCGCAAGATTCGACCGATTGTGAGTAAATGCGAAAACATAGTATGCTTATCGTCCCAAGTGCGTGTAGAAATTGCATGTCGGTACGGTATTAACCAATGACTCAGAATCGATAACTCCTACGACATCGCAAACAGATGGTTCGTAGGATGCTATTTATGGCTGATCATACGTGCAATATTCATCTAAGTTGACATACCTTTCGGTAGAAGGAAAATTCTTTAAGCCCATTCGGGAATACTTATTTTTCACGGGTTATCGATGTTCTTCTGGCTTCCTGTGAAATTCTTGCCAAATTCGATCCGACCTTAATGGCAATGAAATTCACGAAGTTGGCGCATTACTCGGGTAGATCGTCTCTCGCGATTGGGTATCCCGATAAATTGCCTGCTAAATTACCCACTTGCCGAAGGCGCAACATTAGCACGCCTATCGATCTATTCCCAATTCTCGAAGACCGATGAACCACGTTGGTCAATCTGTAACACTCATTTGCGCGATTAAATTAACGTTGGACGATGAAGGACCTTCCAGCTGATTCCGCTTCGTGGTTTGGTGGTTATCCGACTTTGTCGCTATTTTGGTATTTCTACGTGCGCACCTTGCGAAACCGAAGGATCTTGCTAAACGTTTGGCACGCCAATTTCTGGGAGATCCGAGCTGCTTTCCGCGAATAATAATTCTCGTCATCCGTGGAAGGTGCAAATGGGGCTTCGTCGGTGGCACTCGGTTAATTAAACGCGCGACATGTTGCGAAATATCCCTCGGGCGCGTGAGGTCACCTGAAACTTTTGACACCGATGCTGAGAAGTCAAATATCAAATTTCGCGAAATATCCAGTTGCTCGGAAGCTTGCGCTGCAACTTGCTCGGATATATTTGAGCGCGACGTCTTCGATCGGATCGCTTTATTTATTTAATTACCATTCTTGCTAAATCCCGGTCGCGTGCTCGTATAAAATACGTATTCGGGGCATGTATAACGATACGTGAAATTTTTTAGGGATCAAGTGGCATGGGCTTTGATTTCGTGAAAGGGAGCACTGTGCGGCACCACGATGAAACGTTCTTTTCTTGCCTCTGCTTTCGTGCTTTTCACTTTGTAAATAAATCAAATCCCCGCACAGTCCGTGCTAACATAACAGAAACATAAGCACGGCGTTTATAAAAACGGTTTTTGTTCCTTGTGAAATCCGAGATGGGGAAATAACGAGGGGGAAAAAAAGAAATATATTACACGGACATAAATGCCGCGGTATATGACGCATGCTCGATCTCTGACGATTGATTTTATTTCCCAGACTCTTCGGACATCGTGGATTGCAAGTTGAAATTGATCTTGGGCTTGATATGGCGACTGATCTTGCACTACTCCATCTCGATGCCCATGTGGGAAGGAGAGGACGGGGATGGACCGGACAAGGGAACGACCCCGAAACAGAGGTTGATGCATTGGATCCAATCGAAGGTCCCGGATTTGCCCATCACGAATTTCACGTCCGATTGGAACGATGGTCGAGCCGTTGGAGCCCTGGTCGACGCCGTTGCTCCGGGTCTCTGCCCTGACTGGCAGGATTGGAATCCTAAAGATGCCGTCCAGAATGCTTCCGAAGCCATGGGGTTGGCCGACGACTGGCTCAACATACCCCAGGTACGTCGAGTCCAGGAAGGTGCGGCCAATCGTGGCGTATTTCAGGGTTGGGGCGCATCGAGTGGGCCAATTTATCCTTAATTACCCCCCGAGGGGAATTTAAATTACTGGATGCTCGTGCGACCCTTGGACGTGGTCCCTATGGACCTTACTCATATTAAATTATTACGGACCGCGAACTTTGTAGACGTCGAGGGACGACAAGGAACGCCCCGATCTTCGGTCTACTTGCAACAGGTTATCCTTGGGAGGCAGGTCTAGAGGAGCCATATTTTGGACGCTAGTGTTCGCTTCCATTAATTCGGCTATTTTCCCTTGAGCGAAGAGGCGATGGAACATGGCCTTGAAACGTGTCACCAAATGCACAGCCAGTCCGCCAACCGCAGGGATTCTCATTTTAGGGTACCGGGCATGGCCGCGAAATAAGTATAGTTTGTAGGCCCAAGCCGCTATGACGGAAAATGACTCGGATCTGTCAGAATTTTTATATAGAATTATCCCAATTTGTTTTAATAATTGTAAGCGCTTTAAAATTTTATATGAAGCTTAATACTCGGTTGATGTTTTCAGCTTATCAAACCGGAAGAAATGGTCAATCCGAACATCGACGAGATGTCGATGATGACGTACCTGTCGCAGTATCCCAATGCCAAGCTGAAGCAAGGGGCACCATTACGTGCGCGCACCAATCCTAACAGGTACATTAATGGATGATTTATGACCGAAACGATAACGTTGTCCAATATCGAAACGTCAAATCGACGGCGACCAAGTCTTACCCGATTGCATCACGGTCATTCGCTCGACAGTGGTGCTAAACCGTTTACACGTTTAAAATTCTAAAAGGAATAATGAATACGATTTTGCCCCTGAAGCACCCATTATGTCGGCGGTAAATTCTATAAATAATTTGATGCAATTACCTTTCACTTAAAATTCCTGCTATCTTATCGGCTGTAAATGCTCGGGTGGATGATGGTATGACAATGGAATCGACTGATTTCGGTCGTCGATAACATCGTTGATCTTGCAAAAGTTATCTCTTTGACGATGTCTCGTCTCCTCCGCCATCGAATTAATCGATTTATTTCATTTCTCGGTCGCAGCGTGCCTCCACCGCGGTAAGCTTTACGAATTACCATTGAAGCTTGATGGACATGACGTTTTGCGCATTAATCTTCGGCATAATTAAACTGGCGCATCTTCGACAATTGTTAATATTTTTCGCCTAGTTCTTTAATACTTTAGGACTCCGTTTGACGATAATTTTGTCTAACCCGTTCTACGTTTCGGCTCGGTGTCGTTTAACGCGCGGACAGCGCATTTCGAACAGATTTGGATTTTTCTGTGTGCGAGTGTGTCGTAACACGATTAGCGAGGCGACTTAGAGTTTTCATTGGCTGCTGGCTACGCACTCGGAGTTTAGTTATCGATAAGTGTACACCTGGCTTATCAAGGATGTCAAAAATTGCGCCGTGCAACGTTTTAAGCTTGCGGATTCTCGTCCTGCCATACTTGGGAAATAAACTCTGTCGTTATCGGACACGGGAGAGAAAACGTCGCGGTAGTTAACAGTTTTGGACACACATCGTAATTTTCCTCGAAATTTTTATCGGCAAAAATCGGTTTCCGCCGTAGTACTGCAACGAATTAATGCTTATAACCGATTGGCATATTGACTTAGATTATTAGTTTACGCCTTCGATAGCAAAGTCGTTCGCGGTCCATTCGTGTAGCAGTGAATTGATCGAGTGTTATTGACTTAATCGATAGAGTTCGAGCTTACGGACCAGGAATCGAGCCTACGGGGCCGATCGTGGATGCTCCTGCAATTTTCACCGTTGAGACCTTCTCCGCTGGGAAAGGAAACGTCGAAGTCACCGTTGAAGATCCTAAGGGCAATAAAATACCGGTAAGATGACTTCCGTTATCTTTTTCATGGCAATATTTTAAGTTACTGCTGAACTTATTACGTCTCCTTTTTCTTTCATTAGGTCGATATTCGATTCAACAAGGATAGAAACTTAACGTATTCAGTTTCTTACACACCCAAGGGCGAGGGACCGCACAAGATTAAGATTTTATTTGCCGGAAGAGAGATCCCGAAGAGCCCATACACCGTACACGTCGAAGGTCATGCAGGTGATCCCTCTAAGGTCACTGCAAGTGGTCCCGGTCTTCAAAAAGATAGCGTCGTGGTCAACAGGCCAACTTTCTTTGACATTTTTACGAAGGATGCTGGAAGAGGCGTTCCCGAAGTTATTATCCTTGATCCTCAGGTAAATCGTTATAATCATTAAATAATCCATCATTCTGTATCTACCCATCGTGTTAATCGTCATCATGTCGTAGATGTCATGAATTTATTATGCGTATGTAGGATTTTTAATTATTTTCAATTGTTGATCATATCATTTTTTGTAGAATTCAAAGACTACGGTTCCTGTGAAACTGCGACCGACGTCGCAAGATATATGGAGATGCGAATACGTCTCTCCTGTGACGGGACTGCATTCCGTAAACATCTTCTTTGCTGGAAAACTTATTCCCGATAGTCCTGTCGGTGTGAACGTTGCCCCCGTTTCGGATGCAAAGAAATGTAGAGCTTACGGCCGTGGTCTCTTGCCAACTGGCGTTCGTGTCAAGGACGATGCCGACTTCGTGATCGTTACAAAGGACGCCGGAGAAGGAGTGCCTGAAGTTAAGGTCATCGGACCGGGCGGTGTTAAATTACCAGTCCAGTAAGGATGCGACATATTCTAACCGAGTATATTGTCAGGGACAATATCGAGTTTGTGAAGTTTTCCAACTTTGGTCATATGTTAATTTTTCTATTTATTTCTAGACTGGTTAAGGTTGACGCGAACACTTACAAGAGTTACTATACACCGGTTAAGGAAGGGCGTCACGTGGTCATGGTGACGTTTGGTGGAAAAGAAATTCCTAAGTCTCCGTTCGAGGTCAACGTCGGTCCGTATAAGGAATCGTTAATTCGAGTTTTTGGACCGGGTTTGCACGGTGGTATCGTCGGTCATCCCGCAAAGTTTACCGTGGATACGAATGGAGAGACTGGTGCACTTGGCTTTTCCATCGAAGGGCCTTCTAAGGCAAAGATAGACTGCAATGACAACGGTGATGGAACTGCCGATGTTTTCTACTTGCCCACTGCACCCGGACAGTACGCTGTTCACGTCCTATGTGACAACGAAGATATCCCAAAATCGCCTTACATCGCAAATATACTTCCTAAAGCAGATTATGATCCTGACAAGGTCGGTGACTCTCGCAGCGAACATTTTAAACGTCCGCGATGGTAAATTATAATCATACAATTTTACAGGTTGAAGTTCATGGACCGGGAATTCAACCAGAAGGTGTATCGCGAGATAAGCCAACGCATTTTACGGTAGACGTAAGAAAAGCTGGACAAGCACCATTGGAAGTTCTTGTTCAGGATGCCCTCGGTAGAGCCGTTCCTGTTAGACTAGATGACAATCAAGACGGCACGGTGCAGGTTCATTACACCCCCACTTCGGGTTCTCAACACATCATCCTAGTGAGTGTTCCTGAGATCCATATTTAATCGTCCTGTGAATTGTATTACTCCACACGGTTTATTCCACAGGTAAATTATGGGGCGGTAGCGACGAAAAAATCTCCTTACAGAGTCAAAGTCGCGTCGCCATTGAATCCCGCAATGGTATCGGCATTTGGTCCTGGTCTTGAGAAGGGAGTTAAATCTAACACTCCGACGCATTTTAACGTGGACTGCCGAGAAGCTGGACCCGGTGAACTGGATGTCACTATTAATAATAACGAAGGTCGAGACCTCCCCATATCCGTTGCCGATAACGAGGATGGAACGTATACGGTAGATTATGTAGCACCTCAGCCTGGGAATTACACGGTGAACTTAAAGTATGGCGGCCTCAAGGTTCCTCAGTGTCCGCTCAAGGTGAACGTTCAACCACACGTCGACGTCTCGAAGATCAAAGTCGACGGACTTGAACCTAGTAAGTATTTCAGATCTCGGATCTTCCGAAATCTTCCGAAAAATGGTAATCACCCAAACAGATGATTTCCAACCGATTTTTTTTTCGTAAAAATCGTGCAGCTAAAAAAATTTTTTCGTTGGTTCTGGGAAGCAGTTTGAGGAATTAATAGAACATAATTCCAATATTTAGCTCTTGAGGTGCACTTAGTGATTTAACGTGTGGAATAATTTTCTCAGATATCACACGTATGCGCATCGAGTACCGCACTGATTAGGCTTACGTTAAAAAATACATACACCCCATAAACAAATTAACAAAAGCTACAATGTAATTCACTAATGCTGCAAACACGCAAGGAGCTTCGCAGCTTCGGGATGTTTACGGCGAGGTTTCGTTAACCGTGGATTACGTTTCCTTGGCGTTATTCTTGATGAAGTTATTCCTAATAGATTTCTAGAAAAGACAAGTAAGAATTCTTCTAAATGATGAATTTATCTTGTGTTCTAATCTGCCCGTAATTCTCTAGCTAAAATAATTTCCGTGAAAAAAGCGATAGAACTGTTTCGAGAAATGTCGGTATTGCCAGAGAATATTTTAGTATCCACGCGTATTCCTATTTATTTGACTTCAATCACGTAGCCTTGGGGAATATATAGGTCGGAGTCGTCGAGAAGCCATCGCCGGAAATTCAGCTGGAATGCAAGCGTTTATTTCAGTCCGCGAGAATTCAGAGAGCAGTTTCGCGTTTCATCTAAGAATATTGTGACTCCGTTTCAATGACATTTAGACGTAAGAGACGGTACATCCGGTTTTATAGTAACGGTTAATCGCATAAATCATGCAGCTTTGTAAGTTCTCTTACCGAAATACAAAGGGAAAAGAAGGCAAAATTTTTCCCCCGCGCATCGGCAGCTTCAAACGTGCCGCGTTGTCAAAACTCGGCATACAAGTCAATACAAAAACGCTCACGGTGTAAACACTTTTTCTCATCACGGCAAAATGTTTAGCCAGCTCTAACTCGACCTATTTCTGGCTTTGAAATGAGTTTTGCAGCTGTCTCTTGTGAAGGAACTCTGGAACTCTTATTTCTCAGGACGAAATATATTTCGCTCGCCGCCAGCCGGATTGCGCGAGGTAGACGGGCTTAGGTCAGCTTAGGTCAAGGAAGGGAAAACAAAAACCGTCGGTTTAACTAAGTCGCAAATCTACTCTGGAACGCCGTAGCCGCGCCGGTGAACAGCCTGCAGCAATTCCGCGTGATAACGCAGGACGCCGGGAAGGCGGACTTCCAAGTGGCGATCACCACGCCTTCCGGGAACCGCGTGAAGGCGCACATCATTCCGACGCACGAGGGCTTCCTGGTGAACTTCACGCCGACGGAGCTGGGGGAGTACCTCCTGGGCATCAGTTTTGGCGGAGAACCGATCTCCTCTATGCCTTACCGGCTGACCTGCGTTCACGGCAGCGATCCTGGCAAAGTCAGAGCATTCGGCCCCGGGCTTTCTCGCGGCCTGGTGAACAAACCTGCGGAATTCGTCATCGACACTCGTGGAGCCGGCCAGGGCGGTCTCGGAGTCACCGTCGAGGGGCCTTGCGAAGCTGCCATTAACTGCCGAGACAATGGCGATGGCACCTGCTCGGTCGCTTATCTGCCCACCGAGGCGGGGGACTACGGTATCAACATTACCTTCAACGACCAGCACATTCCCGGATCGCCCTTTCAGGCCATCATCCTGCCCGAGGCCGACCTCTCCAAGATCAAGATGTCCGGAAATGGCATTCAGCCCCACGGTTAGGAGCCGCGTGCAGATCGTTTAGTGTTTCCACGATTGGCATGCGACCTTGTGATGTAGATTTCAAATCTTGAGCCATTGTATATGTAAAACAATCAGAACTGCGCTTAACCTCGTGCGGTATTTACACCGCAATTCTGATTGATTTTTCATCCTCGACATGTGACGCGCCGTGCTCTATGTGACACCACGTGCTCGGTGAGACTTCGGTCTTACTCCTCGTGCAAGAGCGCTGTCGAAGCTTACTTTACGGACATTTCGAATAAATGTCATAAAAGTGATATTGGGCTTGAAAGTTCAACAATTGTATTTTACCGGCCGATTATCAAAGACAGCATGGTTTTAATATTGTTTCTGTTACTAATTGCTCGCGTGCGGTTTTTTCATCCGTTAATTTGGTTTTCCTAATTTTTTTTTTTTTACGAAATTAGAGCACACCCTTAATAGAAGACAATTTGTTAGTGTACGATTAAAATTAGAGTTATTATTCCGGAGTTTGATTTTTAATCATTCACTTCAGTGTTACCCATTGTTAGTGATTTTGTTTAATTGCTTCCTGCATTGTGAGGCGGCTACCGAGGCGTGAAGACCTTTCGCGTATGAAGGCTCGCTCGAGGACTTCCCGTGTGTAATCGTTGACTCGATCTTAACACTGACATACTGACACACATATTGTCGTTGTATTATTTCGTACAAGTCGAATTTTTAGATGTCCTAATTCCCAGTTTGCTTGGAAGGTTGAAAGAAACGTGTAACCGCATGGTCATCATTATTCGAAATTAGCACGATATGGGATAGAAAAAAAATATTCCTTCCCACGATGTGTAACCGCTGCGCCATTTTAGTACAGAATTTGTGAAAAATTCTTCTTTAATTGCAGGCCTCTACATCGATTGTCTTACGGAGTTCACCGTTGATACCAGGGCCATCGCTAAAACCAAAGGAGAGGATGGAAAAATCTCGTGTACAATTACTAATCCTAGTGGTGGGAAAACTGAAAAGACAATTACCCCTCAAGCCGATGGAACTTATAGAGTTAGCTACACTCCATTCGAGGAAGGTCGACATACTATAGATATTTTGTACGACAATTTACCGGTACCGGGCTCACCGTTCTCGGTCAACGTTAAACGTGGATGTGACCCTAGTAAATGTCGAGCTTATGGGCCGGGCCTTGAAAAAGGATACGTCAATCAGCCGAATAAATTCATGGTAGAAACTAAAGGTTCGTATAGTCTGTACCGAGCGGTTTATAAGTTTGCCGTGTACCCTCGTACTACGATTGTTCCTTTCCAAATTTATAGGAGCTGGAAATGGTGGTCTGGGTTTAGCGATTGAAGGTACGAGCGAAGCAAAAATAACATGCGAAGACAACTGCAATGGCTCCTGCACCGTAGAATACGTACCACCCGAGGCCGGTGATTACGACGTGAGCATAAAATTCGCCGATCAGCATATTCCGGGGTCGCCGTTTAAGGTCCAAGTAAAAGATGAATCAAATGCCACTGACGTAACGGCATACGGTCCCGGTCTTGAACCGGAAAAGGTTCGGGAAGGAATCCCGGCGAAGTTCATGGTGGATACGTCGAAGGCCGAATCCGCTCAGCTGGACGTGAAGCTAAAGACCGACAAGGGTCAAGTCCAAAAACCAGAAATAAAAAATCGAGGTGATGGAATATACGAAGTCACCTATCAGCCGCCACCAGCGGGCAGCAACCTCCAGATTGGCGTTATCTTTGGTGGTCGAGACATCGACAGAAGCCCATTCAAAATCAAAGTCAACCCAACCGTTGAACCAAACAAGGTCGTTCTTTCCGGACCTGGAGTTGCACCCAAATGTACCGCCTCTTTCCCTACCGACTTCATAGTCGATACGTCGAAGGCTGGATACGGTGACCTTGAAGTTCAAGTTCTGGTAAGTGAACTTTGGTAATGATATTGGTTGGTAACAAAATCAACCCATATTAAGGTACCGTCATGGATGCATTTTAATGTTGAATTTAATTTTTTCCCAGGGTCCTGACCAAGTTCCGCGCAAGGTCGGTGTTCAAGATATCGGTGATGGGAAATTTAAAGCTACGTATTTGCCGGATGATTGCGGTCGTTACAAAGTCAACGTCAAGTATGGAGGCAAAGAAGTACCCGGAAGTCCAGTTAGCGTACAGAGCGTATCTACGGGGAAGGCTGACCGGTGCAAAATTAAGGAAGGCATCCAACACACCTTGGCGCAAGGCGAAGAATATTGCATTACCGTGGACACTGAAAATGCAGGTCGCGGTGCAGTCACCTGTCGCATCAGATCGACATCCGGGAGGTAAGAGTAAATATAAATATATCCTACAATTGCGCAATGATCCCGACGGCAAGACATCGAAATCACCCTAGAAGAAACGAAGTACAAGATTTTATTGCCTGAATTTTTTTTTTTTTTTATTCAACTCTGTGAGTTATGTGATATTGTATTATAATACTGGTGCAAGAAGAATGAGGATGGAGGAAGTGAAATGGTACCAATGCGTTATAGGAAGTATAGCTAGATGCAACGTTTATGATTTCGAAACTTGGTTGCAACGGCCAGAACTTTGGCATGTCGGTGGTAGGTAATTTTTTTCTGGCGACTAGTCGCAGCAGCTGCAACTTTTGGTACCAAAAAGCGACTAGCTGAACGAAGCGACTGGTTGTCAGGGTCTTCCCGAGGCAAACAAAACTGCTATCCAATTAGTATATGGCATATTAAGCGAAAACAATGCTGCCATAGAATTTATCAGCCAAAGGACAAATTGTCCGTTGTGGAGCTGTTGTAAGCTGAGAAAGATTTGTCGACTGCAGCTTTTATCTCGGAATTAAATATTATTATAGCGGATACTTTAATATTTTTAATTTATTGGTAGACTGTTATCTTTATAAGAGTGGGCGGGAAATGATTCACCGAAGGCGTTCGAAAAAGTATGGGAGAAAAAAAAATATATCACGCGATTAAATATAGCCATGTTATATGGAGCACGGTGACCTTATAAAAATAAGTGAAACCTCATCCGCCAGGTTCATTGCGCCAAATCGGTGATATTCGAGGAAAAAAAAAAAATTCATGTTGATCAATATTTATGAACGCATCCAATCAACTTTTTTCTATCACAGGGTAAAAGTATTTGTTTTTCGTGCATAATGTATTGCATAACAAAATTAAAATATTATAGCATGGTCGTGCAACATTTTTTTTTATGTGTGGATCGGTGGATATTTAGACAATATCATTAATACTCTTATTCCGAAGAGCAGCTGGTCAGCCACTTGCCGCTATTAATAATTCTCCTGCCACGATTCGAGCTGGCAGTGGAATTTCTCACAAGAGGATGGTAGGATTAATGCGTTTGGCATTATCGAGCAAAGATAAAGTACATTCCTCGGGGCAACAGTGAAGCAATGTTCGTTTATCTGCAGTAAAATTGTTTAAGGGAATTACACACATAGTTGACCGAATGAGTTAAAAACGACGTATCGGATTACAAGTACTTGAGATACCGTTGCAGCAAGTCTTGCCAAGTTCGACAATAAACTCGACAAAGAGAGCATTAGAAATTAGACTCTCGTAATTAATCGAGATATACATATTCGGAAAAGTGTCAATCTTCCGTTTACCTAAGTGCAGATCGTTTGCGATGCTATTAATAACTAATGGGTTACGTGTTCAATGGACTGTTATGCCATTTATGAGTAAACCGTTTCGCAAAGTGGCGCAGGTCTATTTTCAGAAATAAGAGATATGACTCTCCCAGGGGGTAGTTGGGCTCCACTTAACTTACGGAAGTAATCTGGGAACTTTGTTAGTTTAAGGAGTAACATAAACTTCGTAAAGTCAAATATACTCGAGCAGGCTGACTTTAAAAATTTTTTAGTAATATTTGGGTATCGATTTATTTTTTGCAGTGAGGTGGTCGACATCGATATTGAGGACAATGGCGATGGGACGGTCAATATTTATTACACCGTGGCCGATGCAGGGGAGTACACTTTGAGCATAAAGTTCGGCGGTCAACCAGTCCCAGATGGCGTGTACACCTTTACCGTAAGTACACAACTCTCTTTGCAGTTATGACTATGGCCCGTGATTAATGTGTCTGTACTCAACAAGCGGAATGTCGTAAGTCAAGCTTAAACGAAGTCACACTAAGGTGAATAGTGTTCTCGCCAGAGAGCCAACAAATCTCACAGGACAAATTTTCTTGGAACCATACTTTTTTACAGTGAATTATGATACTCTAAATTATCATTAAACTAAATTACAATAGAATTCTGTTAAATCGGCCCGTTAAAACAATTCTCCGGTAAATAAGCTGAAATGTAGCAATCCCGAAGGAATTTCACCGTACGGAAATTAATTTTTTTTAAAAAGTGTAATCATAAAGTAATAATCTCAGATTTTGATCCCGTTCAGAATAGTGGGTAGTTATTCAGCGTTCTCTCGGCCGGAATAACCCGACTGTGTTAATGGATGACAGTGTTCCGATATATTACCGTCAAATGAGAGTTATGTCGAGCACGTAAATTCTCTTAATGCACGAAATTATAACAACGTCTATTATCGAGATAGGTAATTCGTTTGAACGACGAAGATTTTGGGTTGCGCAATAAGTTCTATTCGGTATCTCCCTGCTTTCGAGAGAGATGAGGAAAAAATTTTTCTTCTCTCCCAGATGAAATTTTTGCCATTTTCAATGACGTTTACGGGCGCCTTAACGACGCCTGTTGTCGCAGACTTTCGTCTTTCGAGTTTCCTCCTCTGAGCACGGGCCATTTCTTCGGCCGTTGATCGTCGTCCAAGACAAAACGTTCGTCACTTCTCTGACATACCTACATCTGACATACGGACCCTCCAAGACGACGAGTTGAAACGGTGGTGACGACGTCTCTCCATGCGTTCCTTAGGCGTCGCCTCTCGGGTTTCATCGGGGTGGCCCATATGTGCCGGAGGGAAAGACCAACCAAAATAAAAAAAAAAAAAACACCGATTCAAGGGACAACATTGGAGAGGAAGAAAAAATTGACGAAGATGGTAGAATCGCAGAAGGCGGCAAGATGGAATAAAATACGAAGCGAATTGAGTGGAACGCGAAGATGCTCGAAACCACCAAGATGGCGACCGCGACCAAGAAGACGAGGGTCTGGGTGAACGCGCGTTCACTTTCGTCGGTCGTACTTCTAGCCCTCGGAGGTTATGTCTTCCCGCTCCGGGTAGGTGGGGAGTGTAGCTGGCTAACTATAGAGACATGCAAAACAGAAGCAGGACATTGTCGCGGAGCCTCCAGCGACACAGTTCCCGCCGAAGAGTCATCGGGACCGCATCAGGCGATTGGTCGGCATCGGTCAGTATTGTTGGGCCCGTGATCGACTCCCATCACCGACCTCCTTGTCGACGCCTTCTGCAACACGCATCGGTCACGCTGCGTGGACGAGGGTCCGCCCCGGATTTGCCAAGTATTAATCTTGACGCCCTCGGATAGCGCGCGTCCGTCGACTTCCGGACTTGACTTCCTGTAGGTGATTTCCGTTCGCCCGATCAGCAGCCATTAACTTCTGTTCGACTTCCTGGACCACCTCGCCTTAATTGAGACGTCGCAATATGATTTTTATTATTAGCGAAATTAATTTAGCCGATATAAATTCTCTTCGTAAAAAGGTGATTTCCAAAAATCACTTTTTTTTTTTTAACACGCTGGGGTCAGAATTTCTTTTTAACGGAATCCTCACAATTTCAATTTTCTACGAATCTTGTCCTGCAGCAAGGTGTACGGTAATCCTTCAAGAATTATCAAGGTGCCATTTTACTCCGAGGTATAAAAAAAATTCTTCCGGTATTAGCTATTCGGTAGAAGTGGCTTGAAGTATAATTAAGTGGAAGGTGGCTGGTCGGGTTAAGCGTTGAAATTACGATCCTAGTAGAACGAACCGAGTTGGGCCTGACGTCAAAGTGGAGGAAGCCTCATTAGGTCGGACATGTTCTCGACGGCGCGTCTCTCTAGTAGTAGTTGTAACACCCAGTTCCAAATTCTGTGGGTCCTTCCATTTCCGTCACTCTCCTCTTCGATCTTCATATTCTACGGTCGAAAATTAGATAATTGCGAATCACTGTATTTTCGCAAATGCATTCGACGTTGCGATATATCTTGATCGGGTTTTCCGCCTACTGTCCTAATTATTACGGAACTCGCTAATTATCCCGAGGAATTATACGATTTCTAAATTTTTGGTTGGTACACTTTTTACTTAGCCACAGGGACTTTTTGCAGATTTCCGTGAACGCACTAGGGCAGATTGCAGGATTACAGTTGTTTTGAAATCCAATCTTCTTCCCGTGTTCCCGTAGGCTGGGAAGCCTAGTAGCCTGAGAAGTCTCAGACTATTTCGAGTGCCGGGTGAGCTTTCCCAAATTTATAAGCACGAAAGGGAGAAAGAGGGAGAGCAAGATACGCAGAGGGGGTGAGAGAAAGAGAAGCACCGAGAGGAGGAAGCAGTGGGTGGGATCGAGGCGACCGCGGAATTAATGTCGTCGGTTAAATTAAACGTCGTACGCCGCCACTCCCAGCGGCCGTTTTCTGCGATGTTACTCGCCTTTACAATGACTTTCCCTCATCTCGAGAATTATCCGACGACTCGTAAAGCGTTCAATTTCGCGCTCGGGATGTGAAAATTTGTCTTACCGGTACTTTCGACAAGTAACGACCCATTTTCCACATTTCGACGGTAATCTTGACGCTTCTTTTTTGTTTTTTAATGTTCTCATTTAGGAGCATAAAATACGGTGAGAATGGATTTTTAACGAAGTCTTAAATGAAAGATGGCGCGACAGGTGCGTCGCAACTGTCGTTGCTTTGCGACGTCGCAGGGGCGACGTAAAATTTCCAAAATAGCTGTCGCTACTAGACCGAATCACAATCTGATCAACGTTAGCATTCGCCTTCGTAAATCAGGCGTTTACAAGCGTTTTATTCGATATCTTTTTCCCTTGGGATTTCTTTTGCGTTAGATTTTCGTTCCGTACCCTTGTTCCAGCAGGAAAGAATTTTACGTATCTCTATTTCGAGTTTATTATTATATGACATAATATGAGTATCAATATTTTGAAATGACATTTATTTTTATAGGATAATTTGTGACTCTCTAAATAAGCTTCTCCCTCTGTTCGTTTTCCACGTTCTCTCCACATTTTCTGCCATACCCTTTAACCTTTATAAGAGAAGTGGGTGGAGCCTGGGAATCTATTATAGTAACTTAGATCTGAATCTGCATTGTATACTCAAGTGGGTATATTTGCTCACACGCAGTTTTGTGAGTTCCTCTTAAGAGTCCGCAACTTCAGTTGGGTGCGATCGCGCCTCCAGGGTATCGTGACCGTCATCCGAATCGAAACCGTCTTATTAACGATATTTACGGTAAAAACGACAAAAGTTGACAACTTTAATAATTTTTTGTAAGAAACGTTCCTGTGAGAAACGTTCCTGTGACCTTGCGGTCACATTTACCGATTATTCTGTCATGGATTAAATTCCAAAAATGTCCTGGGCCGGTAATATACCTGTTTTATATTCGTGTGAGTGCTGAAATGTCCGCTGTTGAGGGTTCTGTTAAAACATCGCAGTTTTAACTAAAGAGCGTTCCGTTGAAACGTTATTTTAACTCTGCTTTCAATGTATGGTGATTCTCGTCCGTGATGATCGTCAATTAATATTGACGTTAATATTTTTTGGAAAGCGACGATATTATTATTTTTTACGGTATTTCACAAATGTATTTCTTAAAAATTCTCACTTCTCTTGGATCGCGTCTGGAACGATAAACTTCGAATTGATGTTTCTAAAATATTCTTTCGAAATTTGCCGTGTGTGTTTTTTGCGAGAGTTGAACAATCTTCTATTGTTCCATTTTGGTCGCATTGCTTTATACATCGGGAACAACGAACAGCGTAGCAATCGAGTAATATTCGTACTTTCAACTTCTTCGGGTTGAGCCGTCTTGCAAGGATTCATTTGCCATTGCGTAACAGATTCTTTACACACGCTCCTCAATTTGGCTAATGTCCAGCTTCAAAATACGTGGGTGAACACGTAAAGTGGATTAATTTTGAAAATTTCACATGACATCCTTGCGATGACCCGATAGGTCCCGAAGATACGTTTTTGAACGGCATTTAATGCAGCACGCGCGGATATGAAAAATTTCTAAAATATCGAACCAAGCATAATTTTCACAAATATTGACATTTCCAGGCTTCCGAAGAGTACCGAGAAGTTAGCACTCATAAGACTCATCGCGACAAAAAATCCCAGCAGCACGTCATCGAACAGCACAGCACAAGTATTCAAGAGAGTTCCAGCATCACCACAAAACGCAGCGTTACATCTCAACAAGACAACAGAAAGAAATTCCACGACGTACGGATCAACAACATCCTCTTGCCATCCACTGGCGGCCGAGTGACTTGTACGTATCAAAATGTTGAATATTAAGTTCCGAATTTAATTGGCTCGGCCGAGTCGATGTGCGGAAAAATATGTACAGGAGTCTCGACATCCTCCCGCCTCTTCCGAGTTAACCGACTCGTTATGTTTCCAAGCAATTTTACACGAAAACGTTCGGCCAGCTCGAGTATTGAAAATAATCCCCGACTAATCATTGGGACTTCCTGGACATCTGGTAACACCTCCGCATTTAGAGTCACGCCTTGAAGATGCATCGAAATTACCATCGCGACATAGTTAAAGGATGCGACTTTCCGGCTGGGTTGGGTGAAACATTGGAAGCGATAGCTGTCCCACCGATGAAATTTCTCAAATTTCTGGCAACACCTCGACGTTTACCGACATACCCTACTGATATGTCTTCCCACACCTTACCTTTCTGAACCCGATAAACTCGCTTGGGTCCCTGCAAGAAGCCATTGCTTCATCGAGCTGAAAATTGAAATACCGAACTCGTGTCGCGGAACAACCATTTGCATATTTAAAGGTGTCTAAGATCCGTCGCGGCTTCGTCGTTTCTCTAGGTTTGGCGAATTCTCTGAGACGTGCGGAATATCACGCACCTATGAATTTTTTATTTGCTTAAATATCGAAACCGAGTGCCGCGACATCGTTGAAATTTCTCAGATTTCTGGCAGCACTTCAGAGCTTAAATGCGAATTCCAAAGGAAATTAATACGGAGACTGATCCGCTTTTGCGGTTCGATGGTTTCCGTGCTCGACTGGGCCATTATACTTATGAATTTCCCGTTAACTCAAACGCCGCGAATGATTAACGAGGCGCGTTCTTAAATTTTAGCTAAGGTTCATTTGGAGGAAGCCTTGAAGAACGGTTCTATAATTCGCCACTGGGATTGGATAAGCTCCATTTAATTCCGAAGTTATTGCGTACGAATTAGACGAAGACAGATTCTGGCGCCTTTCATCGGGGTGTAATCAAGCACGTGAAATCGTCGTTTATTAATATACGAAGCACGACTCGACCGATTCGTACATTCCATGAATGAACGAGGACCCGACATCTCCGCTGGGAATTTTTTCGGAAAATTCCCAGTGCTCGTCGGATGGTCAGAAAAACCGAATCTCAGAATTTCTCCTTGGTCAGTGGCAAGATTTTGAGTGGATACTTGTCTCGACGGTCGTCCAAATTGTGGGCGTAAATATTAACGCAAGAATTTCAACGGCCGTTGCGTCTCGGTGAACTCAACCGACTCGACGAGGAGTCGTCCTCGCGATAAACGCCCTTCCCGAAATTTCATATTTTCGCCTACGTCCTTGGCATCGCTCGGCGAGGATATATCGAGGAAACGTGGATCGAGATACCTCGCAGGCGGCCAAGGAGAAGTCCCGAGGGATTTCGGCGCCTTTAACGGGGGTAATCGAAGTCGACGGAATCGGCGCTCGTTAATGATTCTCGCACCCGTGTCCGGGCGCGTTACTTGACAGACGGAACAGGTTTGCCAGATTCGGTACCCCGTACCAGTGGGTCCTCTTCGAGGCCAAAAATATGGGAGACGCTCTACTAGGTGTCGGAAGCGCAAGCTGCGGTATTAATATTGCCTGATTAAGTGGCCCCGGATGCGAGCTCCTGGTCGGCCAAGCCATTGCCGAGACCATGCTTACCGGAGAGGACCAAGACTGGCTTTGCCATTTTGCCTTCGGTGGCCAGAAAAATTCGAGTTCGCGGAAGAACCCCGGTTACCGGCTGTCATACTCTATATTACGGTGGAAATAATTTGCACGCCAACGAAAATTTCGCAGCAATGCGGTCGAACGCAACGTGGTATTTCTTTTTGTGTGGAATAATTAGCTGTTACAAATCGCAGCCACGCGTGCCGCCAAGTTGCCACCTCGGGGCTGCGACGGCATTTCTCTTGTCAGATTCCGAAGTCGTTAAAAGAGTTTTCCCATCAGCCGTGCTACATTTTGTTAGGGGTAATTAGACGAGCAGTCGAGACTCGTCGGCCCGAACGTGGCGGCCGACTTGCGAGAGATTACCTCTTCTTTGAGCGGTATCTACCGGCTTCTCTCTTCGTCTCTCCACTATTAGACGCGTCGTTTTATTTTCCCTGGCGCGTGTCGCGTGTCGCTCGACTTACTTGACGACTTCCTGCGAGAGAGACTCGGAGGAGGAGCGGTGTCGAAAGAGATACCTTCTGGAAGACGTCGAGGATGATGATGTTCGGCTAATCCTCGACAGACGTAACACGTCTTTTCGACGAGTACTCGAATTCCCGAGAGTAATTGCCCTGGCAAATCGGAAAAGTGCCGTCTCGAATGAATCCTGCAACGCTTTTATTTATATATATTTTTTTTCAATATTAATTTACTCGGCGTGATTTTCTTTACCGTCAATCGATGCGACTTGGTCGTTGAAACCATTGCTGTATTTTCAAAGAATGTTTACCGGTCTATTGGCCTCTGAAATTCATACCAGCGCCGTGAGAAAATAGATTAATGAATCATCCGATGTTCATTGGACGTCATCGTAGCTTCATATAGGAAGCTCGTGTTTGTCATCTCCACGCGGAAGAGCACCTACCTACATGCATGCCTCAAGGACGAATACAGCGGCCTCCGCTATTTTTTAAAGCCCATTTCGGTCATTTTTAGCAAGCTTCCCTTGACGTTTACGATACCACTTTCTGGCAAGTAATAATTGTCACGCTAATCCGGCGACTGCGATCAAAAATAGCATTGTTTGTTTCCCGCATCGAACGATCTGGAAATAACTCGGTTAATTCGACGATAGTCTAAATATAATTTTCCTTTCTCGAAAGGGAATAAATCACGGGCGCAAGTGACCGCGATTCAAGGTACCAAGCTTGGAGCGTGGATACGATGTACCGAAAACTAAGAAATGGACCACCGTGAAATTTGTAATCGAAGCACATGGAAACGTATCGGAAAAAAATCGATCTCTTTACGTAACGAGCACGAACGGTCGTAGAGATGGCGAGACAAGTTGCGAGCGTCTCGTTTCTGGCTGGTTCCCGATCGACAAGATTTCTGTATTGGTCTAATATCGGGGATGCCTTGCGGCACCAATACCTGCACCTGTGCTATAAATTTTGCCAGCCCAGGTAGACCGCCTCCTCGTCTAGAAATCTCCCACCTCCTCGAGGCTTCCGTTCGCGCCTGCGTCGATCTCGTAGAGAGATCTAATGGGCATAAGCTACCTCTGATATATCGCATCCTGCTGGCTGCTGGAAAAGAATTCAGGCGGGTAGGGCCAGCCAGGGCTGCCATCTTGATACTATCTCAGTCTCGAACGAGCTCCTCCTCAGTCGTGCCAGAGATGCGACCCTGACTGGTGATACTGGAGAACGACACTCTGGAGAACACCTCGCGACCGGTTCCCACGAGTTCGCGCCCTAAACGATTCCGTTGTTCTTCGAAATCTCCCCCACTTTCGAGCATATTTCAAATCATAAGCACGTTTCCATATTTTTATGACGACCACCGTTCGTGGGAAAATCGTCAAAAGGAACGTTCTTTCGTTTATGCCTTGAATCGACCGCCTGGTATCGCGAGGGTCGAGGAACCCCTTGTAAATTGCCCGTAAAAGTGAATAATACCTTAAAACCTTTAAATTCCTTCTGGGGAAATTAGTGATCTCGTCAAAAGAGAGCTTTCATCGAGGTTCGATTTTTTTTTTCTACGCGAGAGAAAATCCGGGGTGCACCGAATCTCGAAGGCTCGGCGGAGATATCAACGAGGGAAGACCGAAGCTCTCTGGGTGGAACTCCCTAGACGATCCTGGGGAACCCGCTAACGACGCGTTTGCCACCTTTTGGAGATGTTTTGGGAAGACTCCCCTGAAGTGGTGACCACGTGGCAGGAAATCTCGACCTATTACAGAGCCTGGCTGAAAAATCTTACGTGCAGCGAGTACGACCGAGCAGAACGCGGACCGATCTGCTACGCAAAAGATTCCAATTGCGAGGAGACCGAGGAATCCACTGGACCTGGACTAGACTTCGCTCCTCTTACGTTTCAAAGCCTCTACTATATTCATACCAGAAAAGGTTCCACCCTTTATAGACCGTTAAATCGCTTTCATCTACGTTCGATAAAAATCTTCTGCATTTTTCTTCTTTTTTTTTTTTTCGTCGCACAATTTAAATTCTCGATTATTCTTCTCGTCCGATTAAATGTATCCGAAACGTGGACATGGGATAAAAGTTGGGAAATACCTAGGAGGGTGTAATCGGGGAGCCAACGAGTTCGTACATTCCTCAATAAATTAGGAGTATTCTTAGTCCGGACGAATGGTGGCGAAAAAACTATTTCCTGTCGTCTAAGCCGACGGTTCTTGTATTTATCGAACGGGAACGCGAGGAACGCGATAGCGTTGTGGCGCCGACGAAGGCGAACTCGGTGGTATTTCGGTCGCCGGAAGAAAGATCCTATATAAAATATATTTTCGATTGCGCAACTATTTTTCTGGAGTCGACGCATGAGACGACGTCTACTGAAATTATGTCCAACGCGTGGGGTGACCCTAGATTTCACGATGTAGACGTTGAGAGATTTATCTCGAAGAGTCACGAGGAGGATAAAAAATTCGATAATCTATTTTCTGTTCCGCTTTGACTTTGTAATAATCTGGGCTGATCGTCTCAAATGTTATCCACTGGGAGAACTTTAAAACTAAGAAGACTTTTTTTATATTAATTTTTCCCGAGCTTGTTGCATTTACCCCACCCTCCCTTTTTGTTTCAGCCGAAGTAAAGATGCCAAGTGGGAACATTGACAAGCCTACTATTGAAGATAACCACGACGGGACGGTTTCCATCAAATATGAGCCGAAAGAAGAAGGGCTGCACGAGGTGCACGTTAAGTTCAACGGCGAACACGTTCAAGGTATTGCATTTAAAATTTACGCGTGGAAAAATTTAGTGAACATTAATGACATTGAATGTTTTTAATGCTTCAGGGTCACCGTTCAAGTTCCATGTCGACTCTGTGGCCAGTGGGTATGTAACGGCCTATGGCCCTGGATTGACTTATGGTGTTTGTGGAGAACCAGGGAACTTCACCATCTCCACGAAGGGTGCCGGTGCCGGTGGACTTTCCCTAGCCGTTGAAGGACCCAGCAAGGCAGAAATATCCTGCCACGACAACAAGGATGGCACGGTTTCCGTATCTTATCTGCCAACTGCCCCAGGAGAATACAAGATCTCCGTGAAATTCGGCGACAAGCACATCAAAGGCAGTCCTTACGTTGCCAAAATCACTGGTGGGTGGAGCATGGCTCGACTTGGTATTTTTCACATTTCCTACATTTTTTTTGTTAATTTTATTAATCCCTTGTTTATAAATATTGAAAAAAAAAATTAAGCGCATCGGTAACCGTTACCGAAAAGTGAAAGCTTTTTATCCATCCTCCGTTTCTTTCAGGCGAGGGTCGGAAAAGAAATCAGATATCCGTGGGCTCGTCCAGCGAAGTCCAGCTTCCTGGGAAGGTAACAGACACGGATATAAAAACTCTAAACGCCTCGATAACCGCGCCAAGTGGCCTGGAGGAGCCATGCTTCCTGAAGAAGATCCCCAGCGGCAACATGTGCGTGTCCTTCACCCCTCGCGAGGCCGGAGAGCACGTAGTCGCGGTTAAGAGAATGGGCAAGCATATTCCTAACTCGCCGTTCAAGATCGACGTGAAGGATCGCGAGGTAGGAGACGCAAAGAAAGTGATAGTCTCTGGAAACGCGTTGAAGGAAGGGAAAACCCACGTGGAGAACTCGTTCTCCATCGACACCAGAAACGCCGGTTTCGGCGGCCTCTCCTTGTCAATGGAAGGTCCTAGCAAGGCCGAAATTCAGTGCAAGGACAACGAGGACGGCACCCTGAATATTTCTTATAAACCCACCGAACCCGGTTACTACATAATGAACTTGAAGTTCGCCGACCACCACGTGGAGGGTTCTCCCTTCACGGTCAAAGTGAGCGGAGAAGGTAGCAACCGACAGAGAGAGAAGATTCAAAGGCAGAGGGAAGCCGTGCCCATAACCGAGGTCGGCAGCCAATGCAAATTGACATTCAAGATGCCCGGAATCACGTCCTTCGACCTCGCCGCTACCGTCACGTCACCCGGAGGCGTCACCGAAGACGCCGAGATCAAAGAAGTCGAGGATGGATTGTACGCCGTTGCGTTCGTTCCCAAAGAGCTGGGCGTACACACCGTTTCGGTTCGCTACAAGGAGATGCACATACCAGGATCTCCATTCCAATTTACCGTGGGACCGCTCAGGGACGGCGGGGCCCATCGAGTACACGCAGGAGGTCCAGGACTCGAAAGAGGCGAACAGGGCGAACCGTGCGAGTTCAACATCTGGACCAGAGAAGCTGGAGCTGGATCGCTGGCCGTTTCCGTAGAAGGACCCAGCAAGGCTCAGATCGACTTCAAGGACCGCAAGGATGGAAGCTGCTACGTCAGCTACGTCGTCGGAGAACCCGGTTAGTCCCGTAGAAGTCCTCGATGGTTATGCGGCGGAATGAATGAATTCCAAGATGCCTGTGCCATGTAACCGCGAGTCTCGTTCTCGCTCGTGCCGGGCGAACGTTATCCCACATAAATACCCGAAGACGCGGTAACTGGAGAACCGTCATTACCGCGTCATTGTTCCGAGGGCGGTCATTCTTTGAATATTTGGCATCTATACAGGTAGTCCAAGGTTGCTTCATTCCGTTGTCCCCGCTTTAACGCGTATGAATGAAACTCGATCGGTGACAGGGAGCATGGCGTTTCTGGGTGTAATCGGCATTTCTACCTCCTACTTAGTTACTAGAATCGGCGCACCGAGTTCGCCGTCCTATCCAGCGTGACGATAATCGGATATTCCCTGGGGCCGTAAACCGTCTCTCATCCCAGCCTCGTCCGCGCGATCCGTGCCACGAGTGGGTGTTAGCCGGTCAGGGTATTCGCTCCGGCCCATCAGCAAGCGGAATCAAAATCACTCGCTGCCTCCCGAAATACCGTCGTCTATATTTGTTAAGGCGGATTCATATTTTGGCGGAGCCCACCCGAGTCCGCGTCTTGGTTGACGGTAACGGAGGGAGGAGGTTATATTTGGGTCGCGGGAGAGGCAGCGCGAGGGAAAGAGCGAGACAGGAGGTGGTGGAAGTAGACGAGGACTCCTCGGGGAGGAGGGAGCTCGTGGAGGTAGATTTTGAGATCGGTTGACTCCGGAGGAAGGTAGTGGTGCGCGACCAACCTCCGGTTCTACAGCTGCACTCCTTTCCCGTCTTGGCTCTTTTTCTTCCTCTTCCTTCTCCTCCTCCTCCAGTTCCTTTTCGAGGTCTTCTGCCCTCCTCTGGGTCCTCCCCCTTCCACCTCTCGCACCCGAGGCGATTCCCGGCTGCAGAGTGCCCACGTACCTTCCGCGAGGTCTTCGGGATCTGGTCCAGGAGAAGATGGGCACTTTTAAGGCCTGCAAGCAGATTGTCCTTGCGGGAAACGGCGACCCTTCGCATCGGGACGAGGGTCAGTTTCCGAAATGGGGAACCTTCTCTTGGGACTTTGATCCAGGCCCTCCGAGTGACCTTGGGAGATTGCTCCGAAACTCGAGCCTGACCCTTAATCTCTGAAACGACCATCTTATGTATTATCGCCGTATGCCCGTAATCCATCCCGAGCACCGATTAACTGGTCAAAGTAGATTTGCGCAACGGAACCTTCCAGGAGACGAAAATGATCTCGAATGCTCTTTACTTTACAGGTGAATACAGAGTGGGCATCAAGTTCAACGACCAACACATCCCGGATTCTCCACATAAAGTCTACATCTCGCCCGCCATGGGGGATGCTCATAAACTCGAGGTCGCTCAATTCCCCGACAGTGGAGTACAACCGGACAAGCCGGCAACTTTCTTGGTTCGCAAAAATGGCGCCAAAGGCGAACTGGACGCCAAGGTACGTCTCTTGATTATTCGACAAAGTCGAGTAACGTCGTCCGAAGAGAGTCACTCGGTTGGGAAAAATTCGACTTTTCAATTTCTACCGAGGAGCAAAGAAATCTCTACCCAACTTCCTCTGGCCGAGCTCAACGAAAATAGATCGCACTTAGGAAATAGCGATGCGACATCGGAGTGCGTAGGCCAGACACGCGTGCACCTACACTCGAGCAATTTCGAGGTCCGACGTTTGCGCGTTCACCAAAATTACTTGGTGGGCCTTCACGCGGTACCACAGAGAACCTGTGTACAGATAATTGCCGTTCTTTGTAGGACGACTTAGCAGATTTATGACCAGTTGTCCTACCACACGGTAACGGTACGAGTACTTAATAACGGATTAATTCCGAAATCCGTATATTCGGTGCTAGATCCGATTTGCGATGGACCGTTAAACACATTAATTATATTAACACTATTTTGAGACGTGCTCGAAACGATCTATTTCCGATGCAATGTCGATATACCATATAATTATTCGTCTACGAATGGTAGAAACGCTATTGCGAAATTTTCACTCTTCCGCGCGGTTAGTGTTAAAAAAAAATGTATCCAACTCTAATAATTAGAAAATAATTTATCTGTTTATTCCCAGCGACTTTTTAGCCTTGTTATTAATAGCTATATTTTTTTCCGTTTTAAGATCGTCTCACCGAGTGGCACCGAAGACGATTGCTTCATTCAGTCCATCGACTCGGACACCTACTCCGTCAGGTTCCTGGCTCGCGAGAACGGCATCCATAATATCCATGTCAAATTCAACGGAGTTCATATAAACGGCAGTCCTTTCCGCATCAAAGTCGGCAAAGTAGACGCCGATCCGGCCGCTCTTCATGCATATGGGAATGGCCTTAAGGAGATCAAGACGGGTCAGAAGACGGACTTCATCGTCGATACTTGCAACGCCGGAGCTGGTGCTCTAGGAGTGACAGTCGATGGTCCCAGCAAGGTTGCCATGGACTGTACAGAGGTCGAAGAAGGCTATAAGGTCAGGTACACGCCTCTGGTCCCTGGGGATTACTACATCAGCATTAAATACAATGGATACCACATTGCTGGCTCGCCCTTCAAGGTTCCCTGCACAGGTAAGACGGGTGATTTTTAAAAGCTCTCAAAAAGTACCGTCATATTACTTATTTTCATTTTAATTACGGATCGTTAAAATTCGTTAAAATCCTCGACACTGACCGCGTGACTGTTATTTCAGGTCCGGATCTAGCAGAGAGAGGTGCTCAAGAGACCAGCTCCGTGGTCGTGGAAACCGTTCAGAAGATCTCGAAGGCGAAGCAGACCGGTCCTATTCTTCCGCTGTTTAAGTCCGATGCCAGCAAAGTTACCAGCAAGGGCATGGGCTTGAAGAAAGCTTACCTCGGCAAACAAAATGTATTCAACGTTACCGCCACTGACGCGGGTAAGATTATCTTTTTCGTTTTTCCTTTGGGACGCGAAACGTAAGTTATAAATGGATTTTGTTTCGTCAGGAAACAACATCTTATACGTTGGAGTACACGGTCCGAAAGGACCCTGCGACGAGGTGTACGTGAAGCACACGGGTCGCAACGTTTACAATGTAAGTTACCTCCCTCGCGAGCGAGGGGAGTACATCGTGATCGTGAAATGGGGCGACGACCACATCCCGGGATCGCCGTACAAAGTCGAAGTGTAAATCGTCCTCGAAAAGGAATCAAAAGCCGCGATCGCCGTCGATCCCAGCTCGCGGTGCGTCCGTCTCACCAAGAAGAGATCTTCCCGTCGACGAATGTCCTCGACTCGGCCCCGAAGACGTTGACGTCGTCGGTGCGAGCCCTCGGATTTCGTCAGAAACGTTAGAAATGCAAACGATCTCGACGTTGCTCTCTGCAGCCTCTTCTCTGCCATGAAAAGGAGAAGAAACCCGGCGTGTCCATCCACGGCTCTCGATGTCTGTTTGTCGAGTTCTCTACCTGCACCTCTCTGCAATCCCCCGCTGAAAAGGAAGAATATTATCGAGTCAATTAAACCGATCATCACGACCGAATTATTAACCATTATTTATATGGACGGGGGAATTTCAATTTGAACCGAGTTTCATTTTATGTACGCGAATGAAGTTTGAATTTAATCCGACGACTGGCCGATTTGGTAGTATTCTTCATTTTCGGTACATAATTATTTTCTTTTCGGCTACGATTTTCCCCTATTTTCCGGAAACCGTAAAGATCGTTTTAGGGATGTGTAATCTTTACATTATTTTTACCTGCATACAATGGATAATCTTAGTCCTTCTAACCATTGAGCTTGAAGACATTGTGCCGATTGTACGATGCTGAATAGATACATATATTACCTTGAAATTGCATCGTGTTTCTGACTGTTAAGTTACCGCAAGTGTGAATATTCCAGGTAAGGAATGTGACGTATAAAGCTATACAAGTAGATTTCATTTACGCGCTTGATTTTCTCGTTATTTTTAGGGATTGCAGAATTTAGAAAATCAAAGCCCGGTCATGTCGCTTGGGTCAGGTAGTAACGTTGACGGTGCACTATCGAGGCACGAGAGAACATTTCGACGTTAATCGTAAATAATTAAGGCGATCAGACAAGAATCGGATTACACGGAAATCGAGAGAGTGGACGGAGCAAAGGGCGCGCGCGGCTCATCAACTCATTCGCGTAACCGACGTGCCTTCGATATTATTTTAATATAAATTTCAGACGTGTCATGTCATATGAATCGAGTCCCTAAATGTATTACATTGCATTACAATTATTATGTTATCGATTATGTATAGAGTAAATATATATTACACATTGTCTATTATACATTGATATAGAAATAAAACAAACTAATATATTTATTAATACACTCTCCATCCGGATTATTTGTAACTTCTTGCCACGCCTCTTCGATGGCGAGCCGTGAGATCCGATCATGATCCGACAGTTAATAATCTGTCTACGATGAGAATTTTAAATATGAAATTTTATCCTTGCCTTTTAGATGTCTTTTATGATATTCATTCGTTAACTCACCACGAGTACCTCCAAGATCGTGACCGTCGGCTTCTTCACCGTAAGTAAATTTTTATCTTCATACGATTATTCCTTGTATCAAGAGATAGCAGGCATGAAATATAACTCTATAGGTGGGAGGAAGTTCGCGGTTAAAAATTTATATATTTTGACCACAAGGCAGTCTTCTTAACGTCGGGCAAGGCGGAGCCCGATTGTCGGATTTTTTTTTTAACGGACAGGTCATACGTTAAATATTACGCTATCTTTCGATCCTCTCGTTAGAATTATTTTCGGCATTTGCGAGCCAAAGAATTATAAGCGATCCGCGTAACTCCGTTTACGACAAGCGAGAACCCGTAGTTTTGCGATCGCTCTTTTTATGTTAATCCTAGAATATCGGTTTACGCATTTCTGACAACGAATTCGAATCGTCCTATGTTCGCAACTTCAAAATCGTATATGAACGACCAGCAGGGGTGCACCCAACTTTTCCGGAGACAATTTCGATCTAAAAATTCGCGGCAACGTTCGCAAGTTTTACCCAACTATCCATCTGGCAGCAATTTCGCAAGCTGCGCAAAATCGGTAAAGATCAACCAAAGAAAATTCTCTTTGCTCGAAGACCGGGCACACGAGTACGTCCCATATATTTTAAACGCATCCGCGGGCAGAAATCTACTTTCTGGATAATCGGACGCTCAATTCTTATACGAGCGAACCCGCGTCGTGCGGGATGTTGGCCTCGTCACCGAGACGCAAAGTCTGGATGAAAATGCATAAAGGAACGTTGCGGAAACGAGGGTGCACCCATCCGGGTACCTACGCCTGCGTCGAAGGCGGCTCCGCTAATGACTTAAGCGTGGAACGACGCGTGCTGGTCGGCGAGTCGTTACGCGGCGGGAAAGGTGGAGGAGTGGTTGGAGAGTCAAGATGCGCTTGTGCGGCGGCACCGTCTCGCGTCCCTCTTCTCGAAGGGGTGGCCGCGGCTTCGGAGGAGGTAGGTCGGGAGGTGTAGGAGCCGAGGCGCCTCGAGTGCTCGATAGGGCGGGAGGCGGTGCTTGCCGCTTCCGCGAGCACTCGCGGCAGTTCGCAGGCGTAGAGTGGCGGTGGCGCGAGCCGACTCGCGCGCCGACGCGCCACTACCGGCTACGCCCCCGACGGGACCGGAAACACCCGAGCGCGCTTCGGCGACGCTCGTCCCGACTCTCCGAAGATCGGGGCCCTAGATTTTCCAGGCAGACCCCCGTGGTCCCTCGCCTTAAGAACGATCCTCCACCGTTGTTTCTTGCCCTTCGATAAGCTTTGAAACCTATCCAGGGCTTTTCGATTTAGGTATCGACCCTGGTACCCGTTTAACCGCGCTCCGCATGTTCTCGCGGACCGGACTATTCCCGTTGACAAAATAAACGCTCATCCTCTTCACCGTCCCTGCCCAGAAATTGCACGCTTCCCGAGTCTTCGAGTCGCGTCATCTTTTCCGATTCTCCATTTCGGTAACGGCCGGACGAGCTGCCTCAAAAATCTCTGAAAATGCCTTCCATGTCGTCCCGCGGTAAAAGGTATCATCCTTGAAACTAAAGTAACCGGAGCCCCCCGTCCTCGGGCACGGGTTCTCGGATACAAAACCGAGGGACTTCTTTCGCGAAACGTTTTAAACTCCCCACGTCCGGGTAGAAGCGCAGCATTGGACGCTTAACTCCCGGAATGGAATCGACGAAACCTCCAGCAGGCGCTAAATTCCGTGCAGCGAGTCGCAAACGACCTTTGAAGCTGCCGGTAAAGCCCCTGCAGTTCGCATTACCTCGATCCGTGCCCCGCCGGGTTTCCACGGGCATCGACGCGTCTTGCCCCACCGGGTCGAAGGAGGCGATAGGCGGAGCTTTCCGTAACTGCGCCCCCACCTTCCCTCCCCTCCCCACCCTTTTCTCGCCCCCCACCCCGCGCGGTCTACGCGCGAAATTGCGCTCCCTCTCTCGCCTACTTCTCTTTCCGCGACCTAAGTATATAGTTAAACCGTTCGCTCCCTCCTCTGCGTTCAATTTTGCCGTGCCTCGTCCCTCTTTCTCGAGTACACGGTTAACTCGTTGCTTGTCTCTCTCCTACGCCCACGGTTACCTCACCTCGCGCTCTTTTTCTTCTCGGCTACGCCTACGGGTAACGAATTCATAGAACGGCAGCCTCGCACGCGAAGGGCGACGGGCGTGCCACCTGCGGGCTACGAGCCCCCCACTCCCTCTCTGGCATAAACCACCGCGGTTAACGTAGAGCACCGACGCGCGTACCTGCGCGCAGCCGCCATTTTGAGTCACACTTTTTCCCCGGAATATTTCTCCATCTCGCGTCTATCGCCTCCTGGAGGGGGTAAAGGGCGCGCCCGGGTGCCGCTCCTTCGCGCGCATTAATTGGGCCATCTTGCCCCGAACAGAAGCGACCACGGCCAAACCCGGATAAGACCTGACGGAAACGAAATATGGATAATATTTACGTCCCGAGAGATGCAAGAGGCGGAGAAATATCGCCAAGTGGTATCCCTGGGAAATACGAAACCGGGCGAGCCGAAGGCGAGGTAAGCTAATATGGCCGCGATTATTGGTTGCAAATGGCGCGTGGTCGAGGGAAACTATACGAAAGAATCGTATTTAACGTTTAAGGGAGCCGATGCACTGAAGTGCTGGTTGGTGAAGCTAGCAAATTTTTTCTTATGGAATGGAAAATATTGGGTTCGTCCAAGGATGGATATTATTTATGAGAGAATTAAGAGGTGGAGGAGAAATCGTGTCCGATTTAACGGAGGGTTTTTATGGCCGGGATTTCAAATGAGTTTATTAACCACTTTGAGTTTCTAATGACTGGGAGCGAAAAAACGATGCTAATCATTGGATAACGTAGCTTATGGCAGAATGACGGGCACAAAACGTAGATATTCATTTTGTCTCTTACCTGTAGCTGAACGAAATGAAGGTGACGCTCTCGGTAAATAAAGAGATAGTTCTGGAGGTAAGAAAAATTGTTTGGCTTAATTAGATTTTATCCGAATAGAAGTTTGGATCGATGCGACGAAATGATTATAGGTACAAGGAGAAGGGGTCAAATGAGTTCTCCATGATACATTCCATGGTCGTTTTATTGAATACAGAACAGCTTTGCGTGTGTGGTTGTGTGCGAGCGCATGTGCGTACGTGTGTAGATCCAGTTGCGCGCAATGCGCGTGTATTTACAGATTATCGACGAATATTGAATATATCGAAAACAGTTAGCTAATGGTCATCGGTGTCGTAAAAGACAGCTTCGAGTAGACGCGATTAGTTATCTTTCTTTCAATTTCGCCTAATATTAATTCCTGCTTGAGAACGGAACAAAAATGAAAGAGTGGCAAAAGTAAATAAATCAAGGCCAATAACGTCGGAAGCAACGAGGCGAATTCGTTAGTTGCAAATTGGTGAAAAATAATAGGATCGCGCCTAGCTGGCGTAATCGGAAATAAATTAGATTCATCTTCCGCGGGAACAAAAAATAGAAATTATTATTCGCAGCAATTTCGACCATTAACGAGCCGTTTTCGGCCTATTGCGCAACGGCTTCTCAATTTAATACCGTCTTGCAAGCAAAATATCCATTCAAGATTCCTTCGACTTCTAAACTTTTGGGGCACCTAAAATAGATCTAGACGACGAACGGTTTTATTAAAAAAAAAAAAAAACCACATCCTTCTCGCGACGAGAGATACTCCAATATATATATTTATATGCATTTAGAATTTCAAGTTTTGCTCGCAACACGGCGACAAGTTTCCTATCTAATATCCCAGTATTTAGGTTATCTCTCCTGAATCTGGGGAGTGCCCCTCTTTCGATCCTCATTTGGCTAGCAAATCTTCACACGGGCATATCATGTTTACTCTGCTTTGGGATCTTCTTCGCTTCGGTAAATAACGATAACAACAACAATGATAATCATCCGATAGCAGCAATAATAATAATTATAATAATCGTAAGAATAATGACGAAGGGAAGAAGGGAGGGAGGTTGAGTGGCAATGACAATTGTAATAATACCTAATTGCATTATGACCTAGAAGTTAATTTACTAACACTAAATACGTAATGGTAATTTCGTAGTTAATTTATATAGCAATATACAAATGTACAACTTGCTCGCGACGTGACGAGGTAAACGAACGCAAGCACTCTTACGAATGGATCATGATCGACGAGATGATCGAGTCGATGACCATGAGAGTATTGTGTCTATATGTAGACGTATGTATATATATTTCCACCGTGATCCTTCAAATGATATCTTTAATGCATTGTTTACATGTAAATACGCCGTAAATCCGCGGGCGACGTAATCATGTTGCACTGGGGACATAACTTTTTTGCACCCTGTAATCATAAACGATATGCGGTGGATCGTTAAAATCGATCAATGGTGAGATGAAACACTTTTAATAATCCTTGAAGATTGCCACTTGATTACAATGATTCATGCGACTATAAAATTCCGGGTAATTAACCGCGACTTCTTGTTTCCTTCTAAGCACGAAAGTAAAAATAAACGATCACGTATATTTTTTGCAAAACAAAGAGAACGCAATCGGAATGAATGAAAAGTGAGTCGAAAAATCTGAGTAAGGCAGTAGTTATCGAAAGTGTACTTGCTTACCAGGGTGTGCAACCAACATTGTTCGCAGTGTACGTGCCAGCAGCACACAGAGGTTACGGGTTTCTTGTACTGTTCCTGTAAAGAAAAAGTACCGTGATGTGGTTTACCCCCCAGGCGTTTATCCGTAATTAATCCTACATTTTCTCTCTTTGCAGAAATCACGGTCCCCGGATCATTTGGCCGATCGACTTGGAAAAGCGTGACCGTAAGTTACTCTTTCTTATCGTTAGTCCGATACTCAATTAGTAGGGCTTACCAGGCAAATGAGACACTTGAAGGGTTGTCCCCGCATTTCGGCCTCCAGTTCTCGAATCCGACCTCGAAGAGCCTCGACGACCGGCGTCTCTCCGTTCCTTCCTCCCGCAGGAGGGGTCGGGACTCCGTCGTCGAGCTCGCCCTGTTGCGTCGACGGCGTGGTGCCAGGTTCGGGCTTTACTTCGACTTGGGACCCGTGTATCTGATCGGGTGGCGTGTGTGGTGGGTGAGGGGTGTGGGATGCATTTGGCGAAATAACGGCCTCTCTAAGGGCCTCTCGTTCCTTCTGCTCGCGGGGGGTCCCCTCGATCCTGGGGGTGACGACGTCGGCCTCGGAGTACTGAGCCGGACCGAACTGGGCGGCATCATCGCCGTCGACGACCAGGTCCACGTCCTCCTCCTCTTGGTTTCCCGGGCCTCCACCACCTCCTGCCCCTCCGCCCCCGGAACCCCGGGCCGTCGAGGAAGTTGCCAAGCCAGCGGCTGAAAGTCACCCGAAAAACTGCCTTTAGAGGCCGTATTTTGACGTGGACTTCTACCCGGTACCTCGGTGCGTTAACGAGCGCCATGAATCGCGTTAGAATCGTTTGGGAGGGTCTAGGGAAAGATGCGTCAGGGCCTCACCAGAAAAACCACCGACTAGCATCGAAGTGGCGCGAACTCTTTTCTGTCCGGCCCATTCGTACTCTTCGAACGTTTCGGTGTCCCCTTCGACGTCGACCTCCTCTTCGTCGGGATTGTTGCTCTGGCCCGTGGGATTGCCGTTTTGTTTGTTCAAACAACGCTCCACGTGTTGATTAAGTTCCGCGGGACTTCCGGAGAGTCGTTCGCTGCAAACCGGACACGAAGGCTCGTCCGCCTTCCTCTTGCGATTCTTCGGTCGAATTCTGGCCTGAAGGCAAGAGAGAATTTTCGATAGAATCTTCTAAATGCTTTTTAAGTGACAACTATAGGCGAGGGGGAGAGGTCAAGATTTGACGGAAAACTGGAGGAAATGAAACACCTCTCGGTTAGCCCTGATCCTCCTGTAGGTCTCCCATCTTCCATGGGGCGTCCCATCCGCCGTCGAGGGTGCGTGGAGAATCGGACCGTGAGGGTGCTCCGGAGGATGTCCAGGTGGAAGGGTAGATCTCGACCTTCCCCTCGACGAGGTGGACAATTTGTAAAGTCGTTCCACCTCCTGAGCGAAGTGCTGCTCCAATTCTTGAGGCCTCACCGTCACCCCGCACACCGGGCAGCACGATGGGTCCGATGGGAATTTCTTTTTACCTGGAAAATTCATCGACGATTTTCTCTTCAATGCCAGCGAAATTTCGCTAATTTAAGGATAATCGTTCGATCATTCCTCGGGAAGATAGTCGGACGTTTTAAAATTGTAACCTCGGTAAGTCTCTCGGCGCGCCATTGAGAGTCGAAACACGGCCGGAGCGATTCGAGGTTTTCCGGAAGAAGAAGGAAGAGGTTCCCAAAGAGGGAGCCCAGGTGCCCGGCTTCACGCAAGCGTTTATTTATTTGCACCCGAGGGACGTATCGTTCGTATGTGTCCGCGATACATACGCGAAGGATCTCGCCGGAAAGCCCCTTGAAAGCGACGAGCGCAACGAGAGTCCCGCAAACGTAGCGCCGAGATCAAGGAAAATAACCTCGTATCCGGAAAACGTCCACCTATCTTCCCACATCTATTTTTACAAGTCGGTTCAGAGCCTCGGGCTTTCGATTCACGAGAGAGAGAGAAAGGGAAGGACTGACCGATCAAACGAAGACGGACAGAGAGACAGGAAACACACGGTGTACCTTTTTCTCCAGGACCTTTCGCGAATCCTCTGGAACGCACCTACTGATTACGTAAAGAATAAAATCCGAGATCTAGTGTCGGTTAAATGACGGCGATGTTTTATACGTTTTATAAATCCCGAGAAAACTGCAATATAGGATCGACAGAGAGACAAGAACCGTTTTTTGAGAGCTAGTTCCGAAGTATCGGCGAGCTAATTCGAGAAAGTCGGAGGATCTCGCTTTGGGGCTGCTATTTTCTTCGGAAGGTAAGGTCAGTTCCCAAGAGGGCGAGGTACTTATGCAGCTTGTCGAGGATAAATTTTGAGACGGATGTTAAGTATCTCGAACCCTTGTCACGAGCTCTCCCCGAATCTAGAAGAAACTAATCTGTTATGACAGTCTCTGCATTCGCCGTAAAAAACTGTTGCCACGTTCCTTCAGGGGGGAACTCGAGCTCGCTCTAGTTTTATTTTACTCTAAAGGGAGTTTTTCGGTCAAGGGTAAATTTTAAGCCAGATGTATATTCTCGGCCATACCATCGGTCAAAAAAAAATTATGCGCTAATTGAATTACGCGGATAAATAGCGGGACGGGTAAACGTTCGGTTAACGGAGGGAAATCGCTTAATTTCTCGATAACGTATACGATTAAAACGACACGAGGACGGGTATGGGGTCGTTTGAAACATCGGCTTGGAGAAGTCCTCGAGCTCCCTCCGGAGAAATTCTCTCGTTTATTTGGAGAATGCCGAAGCGGCATTCCTGAGCCGTTCAACATATCCGCATCTACGAGGAAGCGGTGCCTTATCCCTATCCTTATCCCTATCCCCATTCGCGAGAAGACTATCCCCTCTTTGTCCCGAAGGAACCTTCTCGCTCCCTCCATATCCTGGCCTTTCCTCCTTCAATTAAGTATCCCGGAGAATTTATGTCCGTGCCACTGTATTCGATATTCCTTTCCTTCCTTTATTGAAAGAAACGAGGAGAGTCGCCCCCGTTTCCTCCTCCTTATGGGTTCAATTGGAAAGAATTGCTCGCGCTTTCCCGGCGTAATGTATTCCCACTCGCGCAACCATTTGCGCAAGGGATTAAAACGTGAGAAAGTACAGTCGACGAGACCACGAATCGTTACCGCACTCTAGCTATGCGTCCCGGAATTCCAAGAAGGTAGAAATCCTAACTAAGTATCCGAGTACTCGACTCGTAACGACTCGCGAGTGACGACTGCTTCACTTGCTCTACCCCCCGTAATTTACCGTAAGATGATTCACCTCTGGAGGAACTATCAAATTCCAGAGTTCCTCCTTTAGAACGCGCCACGAGACTTGAAAATTCCATTCCACGTTTCAGAGTGACGGAAAATGTCTTTATTCGTTTACTTTCTCTACCGATCGGGGAAAAATGAGACATTCGGTCCTCGACTCATCTCGAATGAAATTCCCTGATCTCTGGCCAGAGCGAGACGTTCCCACGAGAATTCCTATCGCCCCTACCCGGAAGAGCACTCGGCTCCTCGTTCGCGTTTAAGGCCCTCGTTTGCGAGCATAATTAACAGAAGTTAAGGAGCGTCCCGACGCGCCACCAACCCCGCGGGGAGGCTCCTTTTTCCGCAACGGCCGGCTAAGCCGGGCGACGTTCTTTTCTCCGGCTTTATCTTTTTTATTTCGCCGGCGCGACAATGCCACTTCGGGGCTATCTTCAGCTACCTCGCGACCATAACTGCCCCATCATTTACACTTAGTCCCGCGCCCCTGAAAGCGCGGCGAGGGGGCAAACTGCTCGAGATAGAGCGGTGCGGGGATCTTTAATTAAAAGAAGAGCACTTTGACTCTTCTGCCATGAGCGAGGCGCCAAATGAGCGGCCTCTGCTGCCTAGAATATTATTAAGACGCCTAACTCCGCGAAGAAAGGGCTCCCAGAATCAATTACGACTCCACCGTCCCGTCATGAAGTTACTCCGTGTTCTTCCGAGATTTTCAGCGGCGTTATCGTCTCGATTCTTATGGAAATTTAGGACGGACGCTTTTGTGCGTTTTAGTCAAATTTACGGAATACCGCGGACGGTGGGACTCGAGAAGGGAATTTTAACTCATGGTTAAAAATGGGCTTGAATCGTATTTCCGGAATGAATTTTTTTGGAGAACGACCGGGTAAGAGACGCCAAGTGGGTTTCGAAGGTTTTCTTAAAATCCGTATTTCTTTAAACGGGCATTCCTGCAACGTTTCAAGGGAGGGTGGCCACGAAACCCCGGAACGTCGACGAGAGACATTTGGCTGCAATTCGAGTTCGGTCTTCGGTTTATGGCCGCGATTTGGATTCCTGACGCATCGGCCGCCATCTGAATGCCGCTTTGATTTAATAGAGAACATCAACGCGATTCGAAGGGTAAACGCGCCTCGGCAGGATAGGGGTGACTGCTGTTTCCTACGGGAAAGGGCTGGAGTCCTGGACCATGGGGAGGACGGAGCACCGGGTCTTCTTCGAAATCCATTTGGCGATTTAAACTGGAAACAAAGGGGGCCGCGGACGGAGAATCCAAACGAACTTCAACCGAGGGTATCGTTAGCAATCTCCACCGATCGAAATCGTTCCATCCGTTATCTTCGACCGGGAAAATATTATCAGGAAAAGTGATACCGACCCGTGTCCTCGTTAACGACGTTACTTACATTTACCGGTATGCCGATCTCCCGGCCCAGGTTCGCATAACGCGCGCGATATACTCGACCCTCCCTGCGCAAAGGCACTCGAGATTCGCATTTCCTTGGGCGGGAATAAATAACACCCGGGACATAGTTAGACCTGAAAGTAGGAAGAGGATCTCTAGCATAAGTTACGATCGAGGCTCGACAGTCCATATTCGCCAGCGGTCGGCTCGCCGATTAAATCGGCGTCCCTGCACGATACTCGCATTCAAAAAGTCCCGGCCGATTAGTCGCGGCGTACCGCGCGGTAATTAGATACCCCTGGCTGAGTATTTACGCTCTTTATATCGCGTAATCCGAACGGAGCAATTAGTATGTGCGCGTATAGAGACGCATCCCCGTTCGGTTAGCCACGGGCACCGTCTCCGGAGAGCGTAGTAGGTAGACTCGTCGACTCGGCTACTCCGACGACGTATAATCCGGTTTTAATGAAATAACTGCCCGCACCCCGTGGCCCGACTCCCTAGCCGCGAGGCCTAGGGGAAATCCCCGCTCGGGCGAAAGAGTTACACCGGCTCCTCCGGGGGCGGCGGAGAGCAAGAAAGGGAGACCACGGTGTCGGCATTTAACCGCAACTGTTGTCGCGAGATGGGGTGGGTTATGGCCCTCGGAAGTTGGCGACCCTGCGAAATTCGCCCACCTTCGCTCCTTCCACCCTCCGGTTCGAGTCGTCTCTGGATACGAGCCGATCGCGGGGATATCGAACTTCGGGATCCACTCCTACGTCTCCAATCGGGTATGCGACGTTCATTTATGCCGTGGAGGAGCTTCTTGGTTTTCGATTAATATTGGTATCGGTATTCGACGAGATTCTCGTCCTCCACCGTCTTTTCGACGGGCGAGACTCTTTGCCGATAAGCCCCTGATTTGTGTCGCTCGGGGCGGTTGTCCGGCCACGCGGTCATACGAAGCCGGGCAATCAGGTGCGTACCGGAGTACTTAGCGTTACGGCCCGGGATTACGGCCCCGGTCTCGGCATCCAGGGGCCGCTGCCAAACGGCCGTTTTATTAATAACTAAAGCCCCGGAAACAATGAAGGCGAGCATTCTTAATAATTAGGCGGCTCGAGCACGCGTAATGAAATGATAACGACTCGCCGCCGCGAACGCCCTCCTCGGCGGCTCCCCGAAAGGATAAGCCGTAAAGACGGGAGTCGACTAAACGCTTTAACGTTTTCTGCCCTTCGAGGAGAGGAATACCTGATTTATAGGGCGGATCGTTTATCGTCGACTCGTTATCCGTGCTCTGTAAAAGGAGTCGCGTTGAATATCTCGCTAAACGGTCCGCTCCGAATTTACCTTTGGCATCGTTTCAATTTAGTTACCCCCGGTTAGCCGGTCGCTGCTGAATTTAAATGTGGCAATTGAGATGACCAGGGGATTAAAAATGAAACCGAGAGCCGATTTTGGATACGTTTCCGTAGGGTTTCGGGGTCGGCTAGGTGACGGTCGGAAGCGTCATGCGCGCAAGAAGAAGGGTGCTTGGTCGGAGCCATAAGTTCGGCAGTTAAGGTTATAAGGGCGGCTGAGTGGCTCGTAGCGGCTACGTTCTCCAGACCAAGGGGAAGGAAGCGACCTCGGGCAAAGGGGACTAAGGACAAGCGTCCTTTCATGCATACCGAAGTGATCCTCCCGCGTGCCGAAGACGATGCTCTTCGAGGTTAAGTCGCTCTCTCCCGCGTCATAATGCCGCGGCTGACTTACGCGGCGCCCAGGATCCAACGGAACACCGGTTCCTTCCTCGGGGATGAGAGACCTAACTCGGTTTTACGAGCGACGAGAGTCGGGC